TTTTGCGGGCCCAGGTCCGTCGAGCTCGGCCCCAGGCCGTTTTCACGAAGGGGAGGTCTACTAAAGGGAGGTTTGTCGGTTTGTCCACCGCCGAAGCGACACGCATGTTCGGGGCTCCGCGCGATCTTCCTGGATCCGCGCTGGGACCCCCCCTGGTGGCGCCTCCGACGCCACCTCTGGCGCGCTCCGTGCGCCAGGGAGAAGGGCTCCGTGCGCCAGGGAGAAGGCCGTTTTCACTAAGGGGAGGTTTACTAAAAGGAGGCTTGTCCACCGCCGAAGTCGCCCGGGAGGGCCCCGAGAGAGGCGGCGCTGGCGGCGCCGACGGGCCGGGCGCCGCCAAGGGCCCGCTCCCTCCTCGGAGCGACGGCCTCCGGGCGGGCCCGGAGAGGGCCTCCGCGGCCCCCTCCGGGAGGGCCCCGGGTGACTCGGGGGCGGCAAAGAGGGGGGTGAGGACTAGGGGGGGGTGCAAATCATGGCGGGGGCCATGGTATTTCCCCAGGTGTCATGGCGCCTCTTCTTCTTTCATCACGTCCCTGGCCCCCCCGCTGGGCCGCGCACATGCCGCCGGCCATGATTTGCACTCCCCCCTCTTGGACACCCCCCTCTTGGCCGCTCCCGAGTTACGTGGCATCTTCGGGGGGCCTCGCCAGGAAGTCGTATAAAAATGGTAAGTCGCACATAAGCAAAAGTATTCGGGGGGCCTCGCCTTCTCCACGGATTAGTGTCGTCTCCCGTGCCCGTCGTGGGCTCGATGCGGACTCGGCCCGGATTTGGCGTGTGTGTTCGACGCGGGTTCGCTACGGATTCGACGCGGAGTCGAGGAGGCCGACCTGGATTCGACACGGATTCGGCACGGTCAGGGTCGCGACGGGACAGACAAGGCCCCCCGAAGATGCAGCAGAACCCAGGAGATTCCCCAGAAGGTTGCGAGAGACCCCAGAGTGGGCCCAAGGCAGCTCGAAGATGATTCCAAGAGACTCCCAGGAGGCCCCAATACCGAAAGATGCGCGAAGCCCTCAATGGCTGACGCGTGTCATCGTCGTCGTCTCATCCACCTCCGCCTACTCTTCCTTCTTCTCTCCCATCTACGGTGCACTAGAATCTACATGGGAACGCTTTCTGTCAAGCTCCTTCTCCTTCTGCCCGCTCTCTCCTCTTATTCCGCATGCTCTTCCTCCTCCTCCTCCTCCTCCTCCTCCTCCTCCCTCCTCCTCCTCCTCCTCCTCCTCCTCCTCCTCCTCCTCCTCCTCCTCCTCCTCCTCCCTCCTCCCCCTCTTTGGTTTCCTTGTCGTTCTTCTTCCGTCTCCCAACCTCATTCGGCACATACGCGAAGACATGCTTGGTCCACTTGCGCGGAGCGCCAGTACTTCTACATACACTTTTTTCAGGACAGTTCGACGTTTCGGGCATCTGCTTTACAAGGGCTGATCGGACACGGAAGCGTCAAACACATTCCCAGGGCTGGACTTGACCTACATGGTGTTTTGGCCATCTCGTGGGCAGTATTGTTTTTCATTTTGTTTTGCATCCAAGGCGAAGCGAAGGCAAAACGAGAAAGGCCGAACCACAAAGCGAACACAACACACACACACCCTTTCAGGCCCAGCCCTGCATATTCCTGTTTCGCCGGCGCCCTATTCACGTGGCCCCTGATGGATTTTTGTTGACGAGGAGAGGGGGAGGGCACCGACAAAAAGATACCCTGGCGAAGGACCCAACCATATGCAGCTGTGCGTACCGCAAGCGTGAGTACCTTCTTCGGTAGCGATCCCTAAGGGGCCACGAGACGTATGAGGGCTGTGCCGGGGCCTTCGGTGGAGCTCCTTGTGCCACGAAACGGGTGAGGGGTGTGCCGACATTGGTGCTGTGGGCGCATGCGAACGCAGCCATCGGGCCTTTGGTGGAGCTCTCTGTGGGGCCACGAAACGTGTGACGGGTCTGCCGAAATGGGTGCGGTGGGCGCATGCGAACGCAGCCACTGGGGCCTTAGGTGGAGCTCCCTGTGGGGTCACCCAACGTGTGTCAGGTGTGCCGGAATGGGCGCGGTGGGCGCATGCGAACGCAGCCACAGGGGCCTTCGGTGGAGCTCCCTGTTGGGCCCCCAAACTCGGAGGGGTGTTCCGAAATGGGTGCGATGGGCGCATGTGAACGCAGCCAGTGGGGCATATTCTGGGGCTCCCTGTGGGGCCACGAAACGTGTGAGGGGTATGCCGAAATTGCTGCGGTGGGCGCATGCGGGCGCAGCCACTGGGGCCTTAGGTGGAGCTCCCTGTGGGGCCACGAAACGTGTGAGGGGTGTGCCGACGTGGGTGCGGTGGGCGCATGCGAACGCAGCCACTGGGGCCTTCGGCGGAGCTCCCTGTGGGGTCACGAAACTAGTGAGGGGTGTGCCGACATGGGTGCGGTGGGCGCAAGCGAACGCAGCCACTGGGGCCTTCGGTGGGGCTCCCTGTGGGACCACGAAACGTGTGACGTGTGTGCCGAAATGGGTGCGGTGGGCGCATGCGAGCGCAGCCACTGGGGCCTTCGGTGGAGTTCCCTGTGGGGCCACGAAACGTGTGAGGGGTGTGCCGAAATTGGTGCGGTGGGCGCATGCGAACGCAGCCACAGGGGCCTTCGGTGGGGCTCCCTGTGGGGCCACGCAACATGTGAGGAGTGGACCAGTATGGGTGCGGTGGGCGCATGCGAGCGCAGCCATTGGGGCCTTCGGTGGAGCTCCCTGTGGGGCCACGAAACGTGTGAGGGGTCAGCCGAAATGGGTGCGGTGGGCGCATGCGAACGCAGCCATTGTGGCCTTCGGTGGAGCACCACGTGGGTCACGAAACGTGTGAGGGGTGTGCCAAACTGGGTGCGGTTGGCGCATGCGAATGCAGCCACTGGGGCCTTCGGTGGAGCTCCCTAAGGGGCCACGCAACGTGTGAGGAGTGGACCGGAATAGGTGCGGTGGGCGCATGCGGGCGCAGCCATTCGGGCCTTCGGTACAGCCCGAATGGGTGCGGTGGGCGCATGCGAACGCAGCCATTGTGGCCTTCGGTGGGGCTCCCTGTGGAGCCACGAAGCGTGTGACGGGTCTGCCGAAATGGGTGCGGTGGGCGCATGCGAACGCAGCCACTGGGGCCTTAGGTGGAGCTCCCTGTGGGGCCACGAAACGTGTGAAGGGTGTGCCGAAATTGCTGCGGTGGGCGCGTGCGAACGCAGCCACAAGGGCCGTCGGTGGAGCGCCCTGTGGAACCACGAACCGTGTGAGGGGTGTGCCGCAATGTGAGGCGGTGGCGCATGTGAACGCAGCCGCTGGGGCCTTCGGTGGAGCTCCCTATGGGGACATTAACCGCGTGAGGGGTGTGCCGAACTGACGCTGATGGTGATGGTGATGATGATGACGATGATGATGGTGTCGGTGATGCTGATGATGGGGATGCTGATCATGGGGAGAGGGAAAGGGGGGGGCAGCGGGAGGAAGGACGCGGGCGCTGTCTCCTAAAAACGAGGACCCAACACCACAGGATGGTTGGGAATTGTTGCGTCGGCGGCCAGGCAGAGGGTGACTGCGCTGGCGACGAAAGGCTGAAGCGGGGATGCCGGTGGAGCGAATCGTGCCACCACGCAAGGGGGGGAGGAGGAAGGACGCGGCCGATGGAGAAGAGGGCGGAGGCGGGCGGGGGCAACGACAAAAAACAGCAAGGCGTCCAAGGGGGGAAGACAGCGCGGGCGGCGTCAGCCTGGGGCAGCGGGGAAGGGAGGAACGCCCCACCCGTCGCCGCGCTTCGCCCTCGCCCCAAAGGGAACCAGAAGAGGGAGGGGGGGACAGGAGGGAGAGGAAGCAAGAGACGCTGAAGGAGACACGAGGGGGAGGGGAAAAGAAAGAGAGAGGGGAGAGGACGCAGACAGAAAATCCACGAACTGGGGGAGGGAGCGGAAGGAAATGGTGAATGTGGATGGGAGCTTCGACGCTTATCTCGGGACGCACGGAAGAGGATCGCGAGGAGGGCGGCTTTGAGCGCGCGCGTTGCGGGGCGCACGGCTTGGAGCCTTGCGATCAAGAGGAAGCGTTTTGTTGCGTCGTGCGCGTGCGGGCCGTTTGTCATCGTGTGGTTCGCGTCCCCGAATGCGCCTGCTCTAGAAGTAGGGTGGCGGATCACGCCACCAAGTTCTAAAGAAAGCGTTGCGTCATTTGTTTGCTTGGTTATCGAAGCACGATCTCGTCGAGGAGTTGAAGTCGATGAGTGCGCGGCGGGAAGTTTCGAAACACGTGAGGCCGCATTGCACAACGCCCGCTGGCAGCGCGGCCCTGTCACTTGAGCGAGCGGCCATTCGTCGCCGATAGGGGCCCGATAGCCCGACCCCGCCCAGAAACGTGGGGAGTTGCTGTCGGGGGCCGATTGCCGATCTATCGTCGATGTATCTCCGATTCCAGGTCGAGGCTCCCCCCCCCACCCCTATGCCAGTCCCCCCCCCTATCCTTGCCCCTCATTCTCAGAACCCCGTCCAGACTTCTGAGGAGCCCCCTGAGGCTTCGGACAAGGCTCAGGGCTTGCCAGAATCGAAGAAGAAACAACTCCATAAACATAAACCTTTGGCGCTCCGCGCGAGTTTCCTGGATCCGCGCTAGGCCCCTCAGGCGGCGCCTCCGGCGCCGCCCCTGGCGCGCTCCGCGCGCCAGGGAGGGGGATCCAGCGCAGATCCAAGAAATCCGCGCGGAGCGCCAAGATTTTATGTTTACTACGTTTTTTCTTTTTCTAGGTCCAGCTATACGCCGCTGCCCACACCGTGCCGCAGTGCCACCTCTGCAAGATGGGGGGCCCCGAGGACGAGGGGCGCCTCAGACAGCGTACATTCCATGTGGGGCCCCTTCTTTCCCGGTCCCAGGTCCGGCTGTACGCTGGATTTCCGGCCCCCCTTCCCGCCCAGACGTCCAGCGGGCCAGACTCGACGACGACGACGACGACCTGTCGGGCCCACCGCCGCCTGGGGGACCCTGCGTTGCCCGCGGGGGCCCGGAGGTCACCCCCGAGAAGCGGCAGGACTGCGCGCGGAGCGTGGAGGCCCGTGCGCAGCGCCCGCGGCGAGCGGCGGCGACAACGGTTGCGGCGGCGGCGACAACGGTTGCGATGACGGCGGCGGCGGCGGCGGCGGCGAACGAGCGGTTGCGGCGGCGACGGCGGCGGTGGCGGCAGCGGCAGAGGCGACGGCGGCGAGCGGCGGCGGCGACAGGCTGCGGCGGCGGCGGCAGCGAGCGGCCCGTGGAGACGAGGGGCACCCGCGGCGTCTGCTGCCACCGCCGGGTGCCGATTCCGGCGCTCCGCCCCACAAGCGGTCCTCGTCCTCCTCCTCCTCCTCCTTCTCCTCCTCCTCCTCCTCCTCCTCCTCCTCCTCCTCCTCCTCCTCCTCCTCCTTCTCTCTCTCTTCTCAAGCCATTTCGCCCCGAACGCATTTTGCAGTTTCTCGGGGTGATTCGCCTCACCTCCACGTGGTGCTTGAGGGGCACCTGTCTTGCGATCTTGTGGCCGCAAGGTCAGGTTGGCAAAGAGGGCGATGGGCAAGAAGAAGACGTCGGCTTCAGTAGCCACCAGTTCCCATGATCCCTCTCTCTGGACCAAGTGTAAGAATTGTGGTAAGTGCGAATGGAACGTAGTCATCCAGCAGCATGGAGGCTGGTGCAAGTGCGGCAAGCAGGTCGAGTTGTTTCGCCCCAGTCCGAAGAAGGGGGACAGTGACAACCAGCTTGCGCTTCGGCCTGGTGCAGGCGGAGGCGGCTCGCCAACAACGTCAGCCTGGGCAACGCCGTCCACGGAGCTCGAGGCGTACAAGCAGGCGCTGCTCGTCGCCACCGACCCAGGGATGCGCAAGTTGCTCGAGCTGCAGGTGAGCAAGCACCAGCAGGCCGCGGTCGAGGAGGCCTCCAAGGTCAGCCCCGAGGTGGCATTGCAGAAGGCTTCAGCCGCAGTTCGTGACGCGGGGGTGAAGCACGACCAGGCGGTGGCGGCCCTGATCAAGGCGGAGAGCGTCCTCGTGCGCGCCAAGGAGCGGGAGCAGGAGGCGGCGCTCACCCTGGCCAGGGCCGAGCAGGCCAAGAGGATCGCGGTGAAGGTGCTGGCGAAGCAGGACGGCTTGCTAGACGAGTCGGCGGCTGCTGGCGCCCCAGGCTCTGAGGAGGGCCCTCTCTTCACCGTGTCGTGGGATGAGGCCTTCTTCGACGCAGTCGACTCGCTCGAGTGCGAGGCTCACGAGAAGGAGACCCTCGCGAAGCTGAAGAAGGACCTGGCTGCGACGAAGACGGATCTCACGACGAAGTCCGACGAGGTCAAGAAGTGGCTCTCAGAGCTCAAGGCCGTGCAGCAGGCGATCGAGAACCGCATGGCCAAGAAGAGGCGAGGTGATGGGCAGGTACACCCAGGCGGCGGCGACGGCGGAGAGGCTGGCGGCAGCGGCGGCAATGGCGGAGGCGCCCAGGCGGGCACCGCGCCTACGGCGGCCGCCGCGCCCGCCGCGCCCGCCGCAGCCGAGCCCACCGGCACCGCCGAGGCCAACTCGGTCAGCGAGGCGGAGTTGCAGGCAGCAGCCCAGAAGATCAGCGAGGCCAAGAGGGCAGCAGCAGAGGCAGCGGCGGCGGCGGCAGCGGCGAAGGGCGCGGGCAAAGGCATGCCTGCCACGGCATCTGCGCGACCGCGGCTCGAGGGGGCCAGCACCCAGTCGCAGTCACAGGAGACTGTGCCGTGCTCGCCCCCTCCATCGGGGACGACTTCAGCTTCACCATCTGAGACGCGTTTGTTTTTTGCCAATGTCACAGCCATGGGCAAGAAGGCGTGGGGCTTTCTCACAGGTGAGCGGCTGAAGTCTTTTAGTTATCTTGCAGTCTGTGAGACGCATATCGAGTCGGCAGACGCTCTTGAGCCTTGGTTGGATTCGGCCAGCAAGGCACATCTTAAGCTTTTCTCGAACCCCGCCAGGGGCACGGGCAGGGCCACTACTCAGAGTGGCCAGGCTCGTGCGAATGAAGGTGGGGAATGGATTTTAGCTCGCAAGCATCTCCAGGTGCATTCCCTTGCTTCCTCCCAGGCAGTCTGGAGCGACCTCGCAGCTGATGGCTCCTGTGCCTTGGACGGCTTTACTGCAGTAGTTTGCCACCAGAAGGGTTTTTCGTTCATCTTAGTTACGTTTTACGGCTTGTGCGAGGAAGGCTTCTCGGGCAGAAACTTGCAAAGATTCACACGCCTAGGAGCCCTGCTCCTCCAGTGTCGGCTTCCGTGGATTGTTGCTGGTGATTTTAATTTGCCCGCAGCCGCTCTACAACGGGCTGGATTCTTGGAGCGAGTAGGCGGTGTCGTCTTTCAGGCACCTCTCGCGTGCACGTGTGCGCTTGGCGGCGGCACCCATATCGATTATATAGTCGCCAGCGCTTCCAGCATTCCATACATCATTTCAGTCGAAGGCTGCCTCGACGTTCCCTGGAGGCCCCATTGCGGGCTGGTGGTTCGGTTGCGTTCCTCCGCCCAGCAGCTGCTTTGTCGAGAGCTCAAGGTGGCGCGGAAACTCCCTCAGGTCCCGCGGCCGAAAGCGTTGCCCGTCCCAGGGTCCAAGTCTAGCAAGAGCAAGGCGGCTGCCAACGAGCGGCGCCTTGCAGCGAGGACTTTCGCTGATGAGCAGTACGATGAGCTGTATGGGGACCTGCATGAGCAGGGCTTGCAGGCCAGTCAGTCCGCGCGCTCTCGCGCGCCTGCCGCAGGTGGAGTTGATAGCGGCGACGGCGACGAGGAGAGTATTGGCGCTCCCCTGTCTCTGTCCTCCCTCCTTGGTCCTCCCCCTGGGGCTCGCGCCCCGTGCGACGATGATGATCTCTTCCCCGCTATTGGCGAAGCTGCTGATGATTTGTCCGTGAATGATAATCAAGTAGCCCCAGCCCCCGTAAGTGCTGACGATCAGGAGGATAGCAACCCCAGGGTTTCAGCCTCTCCCCCTGACCTTCCCCCTCCTCCTGGCTTCCGCATCGGCTCCGACACGTGGGCAGCTGCCAGACAGGAGGTCGGCTACATCCCTGTTCGTGATTATGCTAGTGTCTGGCCAGTCATTCGAGACTCAGCGGCTTTTGCAGCAGGTGGTGACCGTATTCTGGGTGTTAGTGCACTTTACGAGCAGTGGGTTTCCACGGTCGAATCGGCTATTCAGGATCATCATGGAATCTCTCCCGAGGGCCGTACCAGGGGCCAGGGACCTATCTTCCAGGAGGCTCAGGTGCATGTTCTGGACAAAGTTCGTCAGGAGCCACTGCATGGTATGGTTGCGCGTTGGTGGGGTCGTGCGCACACAGTATTGCATAATCTTCATCACCACCTGTCCAAGTCCAACGGTCAGCTCCAGCGTTCACGGCTAGAGCGTGCATGCAAGGACCTCGCACAGGACATTCCTGACAGCGTGCATCTTCCTCTTGCGAGCCTCGACCCCACGGACGGAGCATGGACTCTCTGGCAGACCTATCTCATGAGCATCGACAAGGTGCCAGTGGATAAGATTTCTCACCTTGCAGCAGTTGCTAAGCGAGTAGCAGGTCGTGCCAGGCGGAGGGAGCTCCAATCATCCCTGGAAGAGTTTCGGTCCTGGGTCCTTACGGCTCCCGCTGTGGGGGTCCTTCACAAATCCCTCTGGACCCCCCCCCCCCCTCCCCTCCGTTTGAGCTGTCCTCGGAGGGGGGGGTTATTTTTCACCCTCGGGACCTCGTTGATCTCAAAGTTCAGAAATGGCATAAGCTTTGGAGCCCGTCTGAAGTGAATCTCTGCGAGGTCTCCGCCCTTTTTGCTGAGATCCGGGCTGCTCGTGATGATGAACAGCTGCTGCCTTTAACACCAGAGCGAGTCCTCCGAGCTACGACGCTCATGAAGGCTCGAGCTGGTCAAGGTATCGATCAGATGTCACCAGTGGATATCCAGCGTCTCCCCGACGAGGGGATAGAGCAGCTCGCGTCCCTTTTCGAGGCCTGCGAGGCCCAGATGACGTGGCCTTGGCAAGTGCTGATGGTTCTAGGTCGGCTTCTGCCGAAGAAGTCAGGAGGGGACAGGGTGATCGGGCTTCTGACCATGCTCACTAGAGTGTGGTCATTAGCTCGGGAAGAGGATGTTCGCTCCTGGTCTTCATCGGCGGAGCCTGCGTGGGACGCGGCCGTCCGAGGCAACTCCGCACTCCGCGAAGCATTCCTCCGAGCGCTTCACGACGAAGCATATTTCAAGCTCGGCACAGATAACGGCCACGGGCTCCTTGATGTGGAAGGATTTTACGATTCTATCGGATGGGCGGTTTTGGTTCGTACCGCGTTGAGGTTGAACTTCCCCCCGACGGTTTTGGCCCTTGAATTACAGAATTGTATCTGCCCCAGGACCCTTGGCCAAGAAGGTAGTTTCTCTCTTGCTTTCCAACCTTCACAGAGTATTGTGCAAGGTTTGCGAGGAGGCACCCGCTTTGCTCGTTGCATGGTGTATTACATTCTGCAGCAGATCTCGGTTGCCCACGTTGGAATGTCGATGCGTATCTGGATTGATGACTTATCCCAGCGAGTCCTTGGGTCTCGACGTGTTGTTCGGGCTAAGTTGTTTCACGTTCTTCGAGACACATGCAACAAGCTCGGCGAGGTAGGTCTCAAGGCGTCGCCCAAGAGTGTGCTGATGTGCTCCAAGCCCGCCGACGGACGGGTTGTTTCACGGCAACTTCAGCGAGTAGGCATCAGTGTATCTGCAGTGCGACAGGCCCCGTACCTTGGCGTGGACCTTGGCAACGGTCGGCCCGCGCGACATGTTCGGTATAAACGTCAGACCAAAGCTACAGGTATGAACGCCAAGATTCGACGTTTCGCTCAAGCCTCGAGGCAATATCTTATCACTGGGCGCCTAGAGAAGGCTGGGGCCCAGGCTGCAGGCTCTTACGGCCACCAGATCTATGGCGCGTTTGGGTGTTTTCGGCAGCAGTTTCGACGTCGTCTTGGGGCTTCTCTGGGAGCTAAAGCCAAGGGTAGGTGCCTCACCACTCTCCTCGACCTCAAGGCCCCTGGCCAGGACCCTGGGGTCAAGTTTCCCAAGGACGCGCTACGATTATGGCTTTCGGTTTGGTTCAGTACTCCTGATATTCGTCCCATGGTTCGTGTTGTCTGGCCCCGTATCGTTGGTCAGCTCCGTAGTATGGCTCCGACTCAGATTTCTCGGCAGATCCGTGGGCCCATTGCAGCCATCATTGGGTATCTTCTCGAAGCTGGTTGGGACCCTCAGGCGCCTAACACCTGGGACACCCCTGAGTTCACGTGGAAGTTCTCGGAGGCTGACCTCTCAGGTTTCGAGGACTACTCGGACATTCTCGATGATTTTGAAGCCGCATTTCAAGCTAGGTGCTGGTCTCAGGCATCCGTGCACTATTGTGGGGAGGGGATGGCCGACGGGGTTGACAACTACAGCTACCGTAAGTTTATCCAGGGGCTCCGCTTGTGCAAGAACGGGCATAGGCTCGCTGAAGTTATGGCCAACATAGCTACGGGAGGGTTTTGGCCACGGCAGCGAGTTGTTGATGAGACCAGGACCAAGATAGATGTTACCTGCCACCGGTGCCACGACGGCGCCGAGACGGCGTTTCACCGTTTTTGGACTTGCAGGTGTAATAAGGAAGCGAAGGCCTTCGTCGACTCCGACTATCTGGCCCCTCGCGCACAGTCGCTGCACGAGAGTGAGGCTTGCTACTGGCTACGAGGTTTGATCCCGAGGGCTTGGACGGCAATCCCACGCCCCTCGGACGAACCTGCCTGGCAGTTCACTAACATGACGAATGATGATCAGTTGCACGGCTCATTTTTGGGCCACGGTTGTGAAGACGCACCTCTGGTTGTATACGGAGATGCCAGTGGCGGGCCCGATGCTCGCGAACCTCGGTTTCGTCGCATCGGCATCGCAGTCAATACCATGAGCTCCTATAGCCCCCCGTGTGTTGGGTCTACTATTCTTGGGCCTCTCCCTGGACGTAGACAAACTGTACCACGTGGGGAACTCTATGGGCTCCTTTTGGCTATTTCTTATAGTACGGGATCCCTTATCTATGTTACAGATAACTCTGCTGTCGCCGACGGGTGGTACTCTGGTCATTATCTTGAGCCATCGGGAGACAACAAGGGGATCTGGGACACGATTAGGAAGCAACTTCAGGACCAGAACCGTGACACGTCACAGATTGTTGTTCTCCAGGTTGCATCCCATATGACGGCAGAAGAGGCACTCATGAAAAAGGTGCCACTGTTTCTCACCATTGGCAATACGGTGGCGGATATTCTGGCTGGAGAGGCCGCGGTGTCCGCTCGACTCCCCGAAGCACTGCGATCGAGGATCTGGACGGTGGAAAAAGATGCCCTCTTTCTTAGACGCCGACTCCTCCGCGCGGGCCTGGAGGCCCTCAACGCAGCAGCCGCTTCGAAGGCCCCCACCTCGAGGAGTTCGACACAGGCGGGGCCTCCTCCTCCTCCTCCTCCCCCTCCTCCGCCATCAGTCAATATTGTCACTGCGTTCGAGACGGGCCACGCTCTGTACGAGTGCGGCAAGAGGTGCCGTCGCTGCCAGGGATCTGCCACTGACGCCACTGTACAGCGGTGGCGTCGGTCTCCCTGTTTCATGCTCACTCCTGGGAATGCTAATGTTCTCCACCTCCCTGTCGGTCAGCACTTACATATAGGTGGGGGTTGGGTGCATGACACACATCGTATGGTCTTCCATCGCATTCTCGGTTTATGGTTCTGCAGCGGTTGCGGTTTCTATAGTAGTGAGCACAATACTCCAGGTCTCCAGGGCCCTTGTCAGCCCCGCCAGATCACCAATTCTCGGAAGGAATACCTTCGACGAATCGATCGTGGCGAGTGGCCAAAGGCCTTGACTCGAGCCCAGCAGGCAGCAAGGGCGTCGAGGTAGTCTCTTTTGATCACTCCGTGATAGCGCATTCTCATTCTCATTCTCCTCCTCCTTCTCGCGTCCCCCCTCCTCAAGGGTGTTCGCGGCTCGGTCGGTTCGGCTGTCGGCTGCGTCGCAGTCGGTTGCGTTCAGTCGGTTTCGGTGCGGTCGGTTATTGTGTCGTTGCCGCGGTGTCGCCCCCTTCTGGGCTGCTTGTGGCCGGTCGATTGCGGTCGGCTTCGGTTTCGCTGTCGGTTCGGCCGGCCTTCGCTGTTGCAGTCGTCGTGGACGGCTCTGCTCCTACAGTCGGGGCTCTGAAGAAGGAACCCTTTTCGTTGGGGAGGGGCTCCGTGTTCCTTAAGTGTTTCGCAGCTTGCCTCAGGCTTTCCTTATGCTTCCGATCGGACATCGAAGTTTAACTTGTGGAAGAAAGGGGCCTCGTTCCTTATTCATGGTTCCTTAGGTCAACGCCCCCGACTGTGCTCGCAGAGCGACGCGGAGGAGCAGCAGCGAGCGCGAGGCAGGGTCCGGGCGGCTGCTCCCGAGTGCGTCGTGGTCCTGGAAGGGGCCCCGGCGCGGTGCGGTGCGATCCTCAGGCCCTGGACCACTCGGGCCCCCTTTTTTCAGGAGGAAAAAAACACACACAGACACAATTAATCGTCGATTCCGAAGAAAATGTGGGAAAATATGGGAATTGGGCGGGAAGACAAAAACCCGGAAACTATGGGAAAATATGGGGAATCCTGTTATTTGTGTGTGTATCTATTTGTGTGTCCCAGGGCCCCTTCATTTTTGGCGGGGCCTCCGCCTGCTGTCCTGGCATCGCTTGGACGTGTGCAGTTGTTTCTCGGCGAGAACAATCGAGGACCATCCTCTCGACCAACGAGCAACAAACAAACGCGCACGAAACCGCAAAAAATGCACGGGAAATGGACGTCCGAGCGACGGCGAGCCGTTGCCCCACCCTCCATGTGCTCTGCTGGTGCTGCTGTAAGTCTCCCCCTCCCCACCATGTAGGCTACTGTCCGCTAGGGTTATTCCTGCTGCTCCCGCGGAGGAGGAGGAGGCGGGCGAGCAGGAGGAGGAGGAGGAAGGAGGAGGGGGAGGAGGAGGCTTGCTGACGCGCTGGGGTAGTTTTCAGATGGGTTCTAGCTGATTCGGTGGTTTCCCGAAGTTTCGGGCGGCTTGCAGAGTTGTCCACGGGTGGAGGTTTGCGATTGGTTTGGGATATCTTCTTGCCGTGGATGCTGCTCACCTACTCCTGCTTCCGATGGGTGGCATCTCTGGCAAGTCATCTCCACTTCGTGGAAATCAGTCGTTCCCCAGCTGCCAGCACGCCCGTGTGCCTGCGAGCTAGAGGAGAAGAAAAGGAGTGGGGGAACGAATAATTGGCATGCCACGTAATTGGTGTCGATGGCGCGCCTTTCCGGTGCGTTGGCTGGTTGTATCTCTTTTGCTCTCTTCCTGCTTCCTGCTCGTCCCTCCCACTGCTCTTCACGTGAATTGTATGCCTGACCTTTGGATTGGGGGTTTCATCGGGATCGCCCTGCAGGCTTTGTTTAACCTGATGGAGAAGGGCATCCGCGCGCGCGACATCATCACCGCGAAATCTTTGGAGAACTCGGCCCCGCCTGGGCCGGCCAAACCCGGTGGCTCCCTGCTGATAGAGTTGCTTACACACACTGGCGCTGATGGAATCGTAAAGCAGGGCTAGGATCGGGATGAATCGCTCCAGAGCGTTCCGGAGCGCTCTCAGAGCGTTCCGGAACGCTCTGGAGCGGCCGCGGAGCCCAATACATCCTCCAAACCCGCCGATTTTCAGAGATTTCGAGTTATCCCGATCCGATTTTGGCCTGATCTTCGCGTCGTTTTAAATCGCACTCCGTGGTCTGGTCAGGGCTCGGTGGGGCCTCCTCCTCTTCTCCCGGGGGGCGGCGCGAGAACGCGAAGGCAGACCGCGCTCCGCGCCGCGCGGAGCGCGAGGCGGGGTGACGCACGTAAGGGTAAATTAACGTGCCAGCCGGTGCGGAGCGCAAGCGGCGAGCTCTGGCAGGATCGACGAGTCGCCTATGTGGTCAGGGGAACAAAAGTCAGAGGGCAGCAACATATGTACATGTACGCGGTTTGTTTCCGCCGAATTGCGTTTGAACGTGGGGGTTCGTGCACGCAAGACCGCAGAGGGCGTACATGTACACATGTCGTTGCTCGCTCAAAAAAGTTGCATAAACATAAAAACTCGGAGGTCCGCGCGGATTTCTCGGATCGGCGCTGGGGCCCCCGGCGGCGCCTCCGGCGCCGCCCCTGGCGCGCTCCGCGCGCCAGGGAGGGGGATCCAGCGCCGATCCGAGAAGTCCGCGCGGACCTCCGAGTTTTTATGTTTGTGTCACTTTTTGTTCCCCTAGTGGTGCAAGTCTTACGTGGTGCAAAGCATGCGGTGCACTCGGTCCGTCGCGAGTACCTTACGCAGTGAGTTGTTGCAGATATTCAGAGATCGCCAGATCCGATGCTCGCACAATCGTCCCACCCTGCCAACCTGAACCTATTGCTCACCACCTACCAAACCGCCCCAACCCAATCCGAAGGCCTCAATTTGCCCTCAATTTCCAGTGGGGGGGGTCGGGGAACATCGAGAAAACACATACGGAATCCGTACCCCCCCCAACCCGAAATTCGGGTCTTCAGGTTGGGTTGGGGTGGTCTGGTAGGTAGTCAGTTGCGCAAAACCCGTGCGGCTGCTATTGCGGATGCCGATTGGAATGTGTCGGCGCACCTCTGGGGCCGCGTGTGGCGCGCGCCCGCTCGCACGCAGATCGACCTGCTGGCCTGGCGCAGATGATGCGGTGTCGGAGGCGATTCCCGATGGGAGTTTTCCAGCGCGCCTCCGCACTCCTCTGCCTGGGTAGGGCAGCGCAGGTCCACGAACTGCGTGTACCTCGAGGTGGAGGTGAGTGCTCGGTGCACCCTGGCCCTCGCTCAGGGGCGATGGGGGAAGAGGGCACAGCGCGGAGGAGGAGGAGGAGGAGGAGGAGGAGGCCCAAGAGCCGCGCTGGCGCGCGGGCACTTCAGTCAGGGTTGGTGGCCCGGTCGGGCACGACGTCACGGGGCGCACTGGCGCGCGCTTGCGCAGATCGGCCAGCCGGTTTGGCACGGGGGTCCGCGACTCGGCGTTGTCGGCCGCTTCGGTGTCGGCTGCGTTTGGCCAGTTCGGTTCAATCGGTTGTTTCGCCAAGACGCTGACAGAAGGACCACCTCGGGCTCAGGATTAAGTCGGGCCTGTCCCTCTACAAGAGGAATATCCAAACATAGTCCAAACATAGTCCAAACATAGTCCAAACGTAGTCTAGGGACAATGTTTCCTGTATGCGTTTAAACTAAACTTGATTATGTTTGGACAAAGCTTTAATTTCCGTCCAAGATATGCCTGTAGGAGGACATGCCCAACCTGACGCTGCAGCCACGACGCTGCCAAGAGGACCATACCACGAGCTCGGGAGGGGCGTTTTGGCCGTCGCGTCCCGCTCCGCGGACACCCCCGTCGAATGGAGATCCCGTCCGTGGCCGCGTTGCCCTCGCCGTTGCAAGGACAGCCCCCATTGTCGTTCCCCACGGTGGAGGCCCAGGCCAAGAAACACCCTGCTCCTCTCCAGGGTGCCCTGGGTTTCTAGGGGTTCGATGGTTTTGCTGTGGAGAAATCGATGGACGTCCTGGGGTCTCAGGCTTCGGTTTCTTGTGGAAGGATTCTTGTGGATGGGCCTCCACTGCATCTGGCGTTGCAATTGAGATCGTCGCCACCCCAACACAGGGCTGGTTTCGATTCCTCCGATTCGATTCGGTTCGATTTCGATGGCTTCCGCTTTCAAATCGATTCGACTCCGGGTTCCGATTGGGGCTACGATGTTTCAATGGAGGCGTACGAAACTGCCGATTCCCGCCGATCCGATCGATTTCGACTGCCGATCCGACTTCTCGATCCGATTCCGGACTCTCCTGCAACATACTAGTACAGTGTGTGCGTCGCCCCCCCCCCCCCCCGTGACGACGCGCGCACCGAGGTGTGTTATAGTACATGGGTCGTGGCAGGCGGTTGCTGGCCACTGTGCTCGGAAAACGATAGCTACAACATGGGTATGCTGGATGTTCGGGTCGGATGCGCGCCTCCCATGGTATTCTGATGATTCTTGGGCTTACGCCACACCGCCGACCCCTTGATGTACATTGTCCCCCCTCTTGCAGCCGTCTTTGGAGCCTCTTGAAGGTGTCCTGGTATGTCTGTCAGGGGCCTTCTCGGAGCACTCTTGAAGTCTCTTGGGGGCCGTTCTGGGGTCTCTTGGGGTCTATTGTGGGCCTCTCGGGGGTTGTTGGGGCTTATTTGTGGCTTCTTGGGGGCCTCTTGGATCCTTTTGGGGGCTTCTTGGGGCCGAGGGTTCGAAATTTGCCTTGGGATGGTTTGGCAGGGTCCACTTTTGCGCTCTTCACCCCCTCTTCACCCCCTCTTGGGCTCGTCTTGGGAGCCTTTTGGGCCGTCTGGGGCGGCTCTTGGGCCGTCTTTGGGCCCTCTCTGGCCGTCTTGGGGCCGTCTTGGGGGAATATTGGGCCGTCTTGGGGCGGTTTTGGGAGCTTCTTGGGCCGTCTTGGAGCGTCGGAAAGCCGAAAGGGCGAGAAGGCCCCCTTCCTTCAAAAACCAATGGAAAATCAACGATTTTGGCTTCTTGGGCCGCTCCCAAGAGGCCTCTTGGGGACCTCTTGGGACGTCTTGGAGGCCTCTTGGGCTGTCTTGGGCACACCTTGGGCGTCTCCGAGCGCTCGTTTGGCGTTTCGAGGCGCTCGTGGGCGGTCTTGGAGGCCTCTTGGGGCATTCCTGGGCGGTCTGTAGCCCCTCTTGGGACCGAAAGAGCCCCATGACGCGCTCGTGGTCGACCCCCCCCCCCCCTCCAAATCGACCGGACCAGGCTCCCGGGGGAGGGGTTTGGGGAGGGGGAAAGCATCTCACACGCCGATGATCCCCAAGGGGTCGGCGGATTTACGTGTCTATTATGTCTATGCGCGTCCCATGATAGTATGATGAGTTTGGGGACCATTCTCGGTCTCGCTGCCGACTCGGTCGGCTTTTTGATTGTTTTCCTATTCACTGTTTTGCCGATCGGCGCGGGCCCTCATACCCCCTCCCCCCCCATGGATTGGCGCCTGTTTTGAGCAGGCGAAGTTTCCCGTATAGCACGCACTGTTGCGAATGGTCACATTAAAAGCAGAGGTCAAGGGCCAGACCCCCCTCTGCGCCCCCCCTTCCGCCCAACGCCGAAACGCCGAATCTCCTAATCCTCACAAGTGGGAGTCTGATCATATTTGGGGCTTCTTTCGGTCCGTCAGTTCCGGCCAGGTTCGGTCTCGCCGCCGACTCGGTCATTACCAGCCTGGAACATATCCCTATCCCTATGCCGGGCACCTCCTCATCACGATGCCAATCTTAGGGATTTCCTCATGTTTTGAGGGCGCATCCCTAAGATTGTCATCGCCTTTTGGCGTGTCAATCTTAGGGATAGGGATACGTTCGAGGCTGGTAAGGTCTGCTTTCGGCTCCGCGGCCACCGCGGCCGCCCACGGCCAGTGGGGCAGCCGGCTGGTCCGGGGTTCGCCCGCAGGCTCCGGCAGCCGGGCGGAGCCCTCGGCGCCGCGGAGGCGGGTGACCATCGGTCGTTCCTTTCCCCAAAATTGTCCCCAAAATTGGTGTCCTCAAGATTGTCCCCAAGATTGTCCCCAGAATTATCCCCAAAATTGTCCCCAGAATCGCTCCTTTCCCCAAAATTGTCCCCAAAATTGTCCCCAAAATTGTCCCAAAATTCCCCCTTTCACCTTCGGAGGACCTCGCCTGTCTCCAAAAATTGGTGTCTTCTCTAGTGCCCGACGCGGGCTCGACGCGATCTCGCTGCGGATTTGGTGTGGATTCGACGCGTACTCGACACGGATTTCACACGGATCCGACGAGGCCGCCATGGATTCGGCACGGATTCGACGCGGATAGGGCTGCGACGGGATAGACGGGGCCCCCCAAAGATGCAACATAACGGTCGGCGGCGAGCCCGTCATTTAGGATTTCCTTCACAGGGAACCGTCCGTTACCGTCATCGGCCAGCGGCCTCCATGGCAACATCCACACATTCGGCGGCGAGCCCCCGGGGGAAGTGAGAAGGGGCGGGACTTCTCAGAAGGCTCGGAAGTCCCCCAGCCTTCTGAGAAGTGTCCTAAGCTTTCCCGGGAAACACAGAAAACTTCTCAGAAGGCGCGAGGGCTTCTGAGAAGACCCGCCGCCTTCTGAAAAGGCCTTGTCCTCATTCTCCCCCTCGCTCGCCGCAAAATTGGGGACAGTAGCATGACCGTGAAGCTACGTCCGCAACCACCCCCGCGCACAGTTTAGTGGACATGACTCGGGGTACGGTCGGACCGAGGTATCAGACCGAGGTCGGCTCGGGGAGGGTACCCTCATATTCTTCGTGGCTGTTCGATGTTCTCGAGCATCCTGGGGGGGATGCCTTCGAGTGCTCTTCACTTTGGCCGGCGGAGGGTCCCGTGTTCTTGAAGGGTGCTTTCCTGTCCTAGGTTAAGTTCTAGATTCGCGAGCGTAGGTCGGACCAGGCTAGGATGAGGACAAATCCGCGCCAGAGCGTTCCGGAGCGCTCTCAGAGCGTTCCGTAACGCTTTGGGAAGGCCGCGGCGCCCGAGACATCCTCCAGAGCCGCCAGATCTCAAAGAGTCTCGATGTATCCTAACCAGATGTTATCCTCGGCCTGGCTTCGTCTCAGTGTTCTTCTGCCCGTCCTAGGTCTGGCTGTCGATTCGCGAGCGCGGGACTTCCAGCAAAGCATGTGCGCAGTGTTTCGGGCGCAGGCTCGCACGCCCCTGTGCAGCACCAGAGAAGAACCCCAATCGGTGGATAGCGAGATCGATCCTGAGGTCGATGGTGAGCTCGACCGTGGGATCCCGCAAGCGTGAAGTCGGGCCTGTCCCTCTACAGGGGGAGCATCCAAAAATCGTAAAAAAACGTGTAATCTGGAGGCTCATGTTTGAGCATCTCTTGATCTTTTGGGAGCCTTTCATTTCATGTTTTGGGATCTTTCTTGATCTTTTGGGAGGCCCATGTTTGAGCCTTGTTTAGCACTTTTTATTCTTCGTCGTAAGTGCTCCCCCGGCAGGGGGGCGCGCCCGACTCGACGCAGGCGGCCCGGGACCAGCAGCCAGGCGCCCGGGCACCCGGGAGCCCGGCCAGCGGCGGAGCTCGGCCCGGGGCGTTCGCCGAAGCTCTCCACGGCCTCCGCCACGCGCAGAGGGTTGCCGGCCTGGAACAGCGGAGCAGGCGCCTGTTTTGAGCAGGCGGAGTTTCCCGTATAGCACGCACTGTTGCGAGTGGTCACGCTAAAAGCAGAGGTCAAGGGCCAGACCCCCCTCTGCGCCCCCCCTTCCGCCCAACGCCGAAACGCCGAATCTCCTAATCCTCACAAGTGGGAGTCTGATCATGTTTGGGACTTCTTTGGGTCCGTCAGTTCCGGCCAGGTTCGGTCTCGCCGCCGACTCGGTCATTACCAGCCTGGAACATATCCCTATCCCTATGCCGGGCACCTCCTAATCACGATGCCAATATTGGGGATTCCCTTAGTTTCCAGGGCGAATCCCTAAGATTTTGTATCGCCTTTTGGCGCGTCAATCTTGGGGATAGGGATATGTTCCAAGCTGGTACAAGGGGGGCAGGGGGAGGGGGGAAGGCTTCTCAGAAGCGAGGAGGAGGAACGAGGAGGAGGATGAGGAGCGAAGGAGGAGGAGGAGGAGGAGGAGGAGGAGGAGGAGGAGGAGGAGCGAGGAGGAGCGAGGAGGAGCGAGGAGGAGGAGCGAGAAGGAAGGCTTCTCAGAAGCGAGGAGGAGGAGCGAGGAGGAGGAGGAGGAGGAGGAGGAGGAAGAGGAGGCGCCAGCAAGGGAGGCGGGCGACGGAGGCTCAAGCGGTGCAGGGGGGGGCCCGCGGGGGCAGCCGTGGTCCGCGCCACGAGGACGCAGGCTGGACGGAAGAAAAGATCTGCGTTAACGAATGTTTGGGTAGCGTGTCGCTTCGCCGGTTATGGCCCACCCACGCGCAGGGGGGGGGGGGGTACGGGGAGGAGGGAAAGGCGACTTCTTCGAAGCACCCCTGCTTCTTGGAAGGCGCGGGCCTCGTCTGTAGATGCAAGGCCGGCTCCTTCTGAGAAGCAGCCTCCTTCTATAAGAAGCTTTCCCCCCTCTCCCTTCCCCCTTGCTCAGGAGGGGAAAAAACACACAGACACAATTATTCGTCGATTTACATAAAATATGCGAAAATATGGGAAGTGGGGGGGGTGACAGAAACCCAGAAAATATGGAAAAAGATGGGGAATCTTTTTATTTGTGTGTATTCATTTGTGTGTCCTGGGGCCCCTTCACTTGTGCATGCGCGCCGCCAGTGGAGCGCGCCGAACCCGCGGCGCCGCGCGGCGCGAGCGAGCGGCAGGGCAAGCGCCACCTCGCCTTGCAGGCGGCGCGGAGCCGGGGTGCGGAGTCCGGCAGGTCCCTCTACAGGAGGATCGGAGGTGGATAGACCTCCTACCCTGACTCGTCGATTAAGGAATTGGCCGTTTTCGGTTCGCGAGAGGGCGTCGCGGCCGTCATTTTTGCGGGTCCAGGTCCGTCGGTTTCGGTCCCAGGCCGATTTCACTAAGGGGAGGTTTACGAAAGGGAGGTTTGTCCATCGCCGAGAGGAATGTGCACAAGTAGTCAAACAAATAGGCTGGGGGCGATTGTTTCATATTTCAATGGGCCCCGGAAACGGCAGGGCCGTTTTTTCACTGTTTTCAAAAAGAGATCCCTTGAAAATGGAAGCGGCAACAAAAACGGCGACCGGAAACGGCAACAAAAATGGCCCCAAGATTGGAACCAGAGCCGGAACCGGTCAGAAAATGGCGACGGAACTGGTAAAAAAACGGCGTCGGAATCGGCAACAAAAACGGCAAAACGGAACCGGTAACAAAAACGGCCTTGTCGTTTCCACGGCCCACTAAGGATTTTTGAATATTTGTTGGCTATGTATTGTTGTTCTTCCAGAGTCCGCCTGTAGAAAGGCATGCCCGACCTGCGCCTGGTGCTGGTGCACGCAGGCGACGATGCTGCCCCTGCAGGAGGAGCCTGAGATCCTGGCATCTCATGTCTGTTCGAGCCCAGCGTTGCCGCCTTTTCTCGGGCCCCAGGAGCCCCACAGATCGGTCCGTCTCGAGAAGTGGCGCAGAAACAAGGGCGCCCTCGAGGGCGTGAAGTGATTCGCGCTTCGCGGTTCGGCCCCGATCCCTCATCCTCCTCTTCTCCCTTGGGAGGCGGTGCGAGAGCGCGAAGATATTCGCAACTAGCGCTTCGCTCAGCGCGCAGCGCGAAGCTGGGAGCCCTTGAGGAAACTGGGGTCAAGGGCTCCAGGCGTGATTTTTGTTGCACGACGCTGCAACTGTTTCGCCACGCCGGATCTCAGGGACGCTGCTGTCCTGGGAGGCCGGCGGCGGCGTCCTCGGCGCCGGCGGCACCCGCGGGCGGTGCCGCGGAGGGGGCGGCGGCGAGCCTGCGAGGGCGCGCGCAGGCTCCCGAGGGGGCGCATGCTGCGGGAGCAGGTTCGGAAGCTGGAGCGTATACGTTGCCAGTGGCGGGCGGTTCTGGACTCTCAGAACTCTTTCGAGGGTCGGGGAGGGTGTCGGGTTGGTGTGGTGTATATTGTTCCTTGCTTTCGCAGGGAAGCAGCGGCGCGTGTAGACACCAGGGTCCCGTAACTATACACCAGGATCCGCTTTCCCGTGCGAGTTTCGGTGCGGGGCCGAAAAACGCGTCGGTGTATAGAGTTCGGTTCCTTACAGGTAACCAGAGACAAGAGTACCACTACCACCAGCTAGCGGGGTGGCTGTCCCACCCTCTCGAGCTGGTGGCACCTCGTTCCGGGCATGCCTCCAGAGAGTTCCGGAAGGAGGTGCCAGCAGCTCGAGGGGAGGGAACGGCCACCCCTCTAGCTGGTAGTAGTGGTACTGTTATCTCGCCTGATTAAGACTCGAGTTAGCCTGAACTCGAGTTTGCCGACGTTTTTTGACGAGCGTGTCCTGGATTTTGGCGGTCCAGTTTTCGTGGGATGCGTGCACAGGGAGCCCGCGTCAAATTTCAGGTGGGGTCTCGTCATTTTCATGATGGCCCTGTGAGGCCAACCCGAGTCCCCCGAACCCGAGTCTCACGTCTCCCTGGTGGGGGTGGAGGGGGGAAGGGGGAGGAAAAGAAGGTCCCCGTCAGGGGAAGGAAAGAGGTGGGAGGGGTCGCTCGGCTCAGGAGGGGCCCGCTCCCCGGATCTGCAGCCCCCTTGCGCCTCCAGCTCTGCGCACCAGGGAGAGCGGGAAGGGGAAGGGGAGGTGGAGAGGAAGGAACAGAAAGGTCCCCATCTGCCGATGACCCATCAGGGATGCGCTGTGGTGCGGGCCTGTGGCCCACCTCTCCTTCCCCTCGCCTGTCCTCCCTGTATGTCCGCGTCCTTCGATGCTCCCGTCGTCCTCGTGCTGCTCCCCCCTCTCAGCATTCTGCACGCAGCCGGCCCTGCTCCCCTCACCTTCCCCCCCTCCCTCCTCCTCCTCCTCCTCCTCCTCCTCCTCCTCCTCCTCGTCCTCGTCCTCGCTCCTCCTCGCTCCTCCTCGCTCATCCTCGCTCCTCCTCCTCCTCCTCCTCCTCCTCCTCCTCCTCCTCCTCCTCGCTCCCCCTCCCCCTCCTCCTCTCGTGGGCGCGTCCGCGGGCGGCTCGTCTCTGCCCCCCTTCGCCCTGCTCGTGGCGCCCGCTCCCCGTGGAGGTCATGGTCGTCTACGCGGTGGGCGGCAGCACCAACGCGTTCCTGCACCTGCTGGCGATAGCGCACGAGGCGGAGATCCCGCAAGAGGAGCAGCGAGGGTGTCTTCAAAGCCGGGGCTTGCGGGGCCGCGTTCCCGGCCGGCCCAGCCAGGCGGCGCCCTCGCAGTTCCTGTTCTGTGTGCTCTCGCCATCCCTTGGCCTCATGCCGCTGCTGATGTGAGTGCTGATGATGCTGCTGATGATGCTGCTGATGATGGTGATGGTGATGGTGATGGTGATGGTGATGGTGATGATGATGATGATGATGATGATGATAATGATGATGATGTTGATGATGATGATGATGATGATGTCAATCGTGATGGTGGTGACGGTGGTGGTAACTATGATGTTGCTGCTGACGATGATTATGATGAAAAGGATGATGGCGATAAGTGTTGACGATGATGGTTCATGTAAAGATGCTATTGTTTGTGGTAATGCTGATGCAAATGATGACGCCGGTTGTGCTGATCATGATGATCGTAATGATGGTGATTGTGATGGTCACGATGGCGTTGATGGTGATGTTGATGAGGATGCTGATGACTACGATGATGCTGATGCTGATAATGGTAATGGCGATGGTGATACTGGTAATGGTGGTGATAGTGATGAGTGTGGTAATGATGATAGCGATGGTGATGATCATGATGATGAGTACGACGATGATTATGATGATGGTCATGGTGATGTGGATGGTGAGGATGATGATGCCAATGCTGCATGTGAAGGTTAGCGTTGTGGTGGCATTGAGGATTCTGATGATGATGATTTCCATGCTGATGATGATAAGGATGACGCTACTGATGGTGATGGTACTGGTGGCGATGATGATGATGAGGATAAGGTGGATGCTGATGCTGATGATGCTGATGATGACGATGGTGGTGATGTTGATGGCGATAGTGATGAGGATGGCGGTGGTGATCGTGATAATTATGATGATGGTGATTGCGATGATGTAGATGTTGACGATACCGCTGTTGATGATGATGACGATGAAGATGACGGTGATTGTGATGGTGATGATGATGCTCATGACGATGATGATTGTAATGATGGTGATGCTGATGATAAAGATGATTATTCTGATTATGATGATGGGGATGGTTCGGGACATGATGATGGTGATGGTGGTGACGATGGCGATTGCCACGACGGTGGCGACGATGATACTCATGAGGGTCATGCTGATGCCGATGATGATGGCGGTTCCCCGCACCGTGCTTGCACAGGGGGGCTCCCACTTGCTTTGAAAGCAACTGGTTACCAGCCTGGAACATATCCATATCCTTCTGCTGGGCACCTCCTCATCACGATGCCCATCTTAGGGATTCCCTTCTCTTTTGAGGGCGAATCCCTAAGATTGTCATCTCCTTTTGGCGTGTCAATCTTAGGGATAGGGGTACGTTCGAGGCTGGTAAACTGGGCTGGCCTCCCGCCCCAGCCGGTGTGCTCTCGCGCCGTCGCCGCTCTTCGTCGCCTCCCGTCCTGGGGGCTCTGGCCTGCCGCTCCGCGGCGGGCCCGGCCTCGCCCCGCCGCCGCTCGGCGGCCGCCCTTTCGCCGCCTCTCGCCGCGGCCCCTCTCACACAGACGCTGCGCCGCGCCCGCGCCCCGTGCGGCAGTCGAGAGCTTCTCGCGCCGAGGTCCGCTGACTCGCCGGAGGCCGCGGCCTGGCGGAAGTCGGGAGGGGAAGAGACACACAGACACAATTAATCGTCGATTCCATAGAAAATTTATGAAAATATGGAAATTGGGGGGGAAGACAGAAACCCAGAAAATATACAAAAATATGGGGAATATTTTTATTTGTGTGTGTATTTATTTGTGTGTCCTGGGGCCCGTTCAGGAAGGCCGAGGCACCTCCTGCGGCTCCTGCGGGAGCCCAGTGCCGCAAGCCCGTGGGCAGTGAGCGCGGGCTGGTTGAAAGGCGGAGGCACAAGGTGACAGCATCTGATTGGCTCAACATGAGTTGTAGCACACAGAGGTTGCATTACTACGTACGCAGGTTGCACCACATGGATTGCGCCTTATCGGCTGCACCACGGAGACTGCACCACATGTATTGCACCAGTTGGGTTGCAACACGTAGTGTTCACCGCGTACTTACACATACAGTGCATCACAGATATTGCACCACACCGATTGCACGCACATACATTGTACCACATCGATTGCACCACGTAGCTCGCACCACAGACATTTTCCCATCTTAAATTCGAATGAACCAGACTTCCCCCTTGGAATCATCGCTTCCCCTGGCACGCTGCAAAACACAGATCATGCTGCTTCATTATTCACTTTGCGACTTGGTCCATACCATCCCAGGCACTACAGTTCTGCTCCCCCACCTCCTCATCCCTGTCTAATAATACAGCGCATTCACAAAACAGAATAGGTGAGGTTTAAATCATCCCTTGCGAAACAGATGACAAAGTCCACACGCGCGCGTCGTCGCGCGCGCATGTCAAAATTCCTCCACAACCTTTTTCGTTTCCGTAAGGGTTTCAAGATCGAGGCTCTCAGGAACCTATGGACAACCAATGGCTTCCAGCATCTGCTTTTAAGCGCTTGCGCGCGCGCTCCTGCAATTCTTTAAGACAAGCGTTAGTTGTTCATTTGTTTCTCAGATCGGATCACACGGGCCTCTCGCGCTCGCATGCCGAAACCTTTAGAACGCTCTTGCGCGTTTGCTGCGGGTGGGGGGCACGCCCCTTGTCGAAGAATACCCCACGGGCCACCCGCGCGCGTCGGCCGCGCGCGCGCGCCGGACGCGCGCGAATGCCGAAATCTTCCCTTCACAATTGCCACCGACACGCAGACATCACCATCATCGGCGAGACCAGCATCGGCGCCTTCATTGGCCTTGCCGCCGTCATCGCCACCATCGTCGCCGTTCTCGCTATAATTATCATCGTGACCGCCCTTTGTCGACGTCACCATGCTACCGCGCCCGCCCGGGCCACCGACTGGCACTGAAGTGCCCGCAGTGTCGGCGCGGCCTGCGGGATGCGCTGGGAAGTCCCCGGCTGCCAGCTCCACCGCGAACGCGTCGGTCGCGCCAAACCACCTGACCGTTTTGCGCGCGAGCCCGCGTGCTTGCATGGCCGCAGCGGGTCGCCCGCCGGCGCCACGCCGTCATCGCAATCACCGCCGCATGCGTTTTGCAAGCCAAGCTGCGAGTGGATGGATGGATGGGGCGATTGCGCGAGCAGTTGGGTTGATAGACCCAAGCTCTTGAACATCAATTGTGCCACATAGCTTGCACCACATGTGTTGCACCACGTAGGCATTGCACCACGTAGCTGGCACCACAGTTATGGCACCACTTCCTTTAAACCACATATATTACACCTCATAATTTGCACCATATACAGGTCCCACCACATCTGTATGTGAATATATGTATACATCCATATCCATGCATGCTTATAGATACATGATGTAAATGTATGCGTGCACTGCACCTCATCGGCTGCATAACAAACGGTTGGAACCACAGGTATTGCACCATCTAGTTCGTGCACATAACAGATTGCACCATGTGGATCAATTCACAGATGTTCCGCCACGAAGTCTACACCACCTACACAACCATATATTGATTCGTTTCGTTCATTCCGCCTGCCCGTACTGTGCCATCGCAGGCGTTTGCCTGCGCGTTCGTGGCCTCTTGGGGCCTGTTGGGGGCCGTTTGGGGGCCTTCTGGGGCCTCTTTTGGGGCCTTTCGGGGGCTTCGTGGAGCCTTCAGGGGGCCCTCCTGTGCTCTCTTGGGGGCCTCTTGGGGCGTCCTGGGGGCCTCTCAGGGCGGAAGGCTGGAATTGGTGGTTCGTGTTCCCCCTCTTGGGCCGATCTTTGGGCCGTCTTGGGGCCCTCTTGGGCGATCTGCGGCGCCTCTTGGGCCATTGGGGGGCCCTCTGGGACCGTGTTGGGGCCCTCTTGGGGGCCTCTGGGGCCATCTTGGAGCGTCGGAAGCCCGAAAACGCCAGAACGCCAAACACATTCAAAGAATACGAGGAAATCCATGATCTGTCTGGCCCTCTTGGAGCGCTCTTGGAGCTTTTTGGGGGCATCTTGGGTCGCCTTGCGGCCTTTTTGGGTGTCTTGGGGCGCTCTTGGGCCGTGATTTCGATTCGTGGACTCTTTCGGAGCTGCCTTGAAGTTCCTTGGGCCGCTCGTAGGGCGATTTGGAGGGCCCCGAAAAACCGCCCCCGGGAGTTCCAGCATCCTTGAGCGGACCTTGCCAGGATTTTGCCGGGACTTTGTTGGGACTCGCCGGGGTATTTCTCGCTTGGGGACCCCCAGGGGCCGCCCCGCGCGCGCGAATTAGAATGTACACTATACATATACTCTGTGAACCAGTTAGCGGTGATCTCAGCACGCCTCTGGTCCATCGGGCAGGCAAATCCATACATGTGTACATACATATGTGTATGTATGTGTGTATATATATATGTATGTATGTGTGTGCCGTGCACACAAAATATTGCATCTCATATGTTGCACCACATCGTATGCCCGAGCATATTGGTTGGAGCCCGCAATGGCTACCAATGCTCTTCATGGTGTTTGAGACTTGCACGTCTAGAGAACAACACGCTGTTGACGTACATTTTCAGAGTTACACGCGGGTTTTTAGTTCGGCGTCGTTGGCCGCGCGCCAGGGAGAGTGGTTCAGCGCCGATCCAAGATATCCGCGCCGACCTCCGACTGTTATGGTTGTGCAGGGTTCTCATTTTCTAAGTCTGGGATCTTCAACGTAAGCTCTCTGTTTGACTCCGCAGCCTGTCCCGCGCTGGTTACTACAGTCAACCCGCATAGTAAGGATGGGTAACCTACCCCAGGGTACCCTTTCATCCTTGCCTCCTCGGTTCATCCTTCGTCCTTGCATCCTTATCGCGCATCCTTATGATACGGGCCGACTGTAATTAGGACCACAGTTGTCTCGCACGTCTTCCATTGGGCGCGCCTGGGCCCACAGGGGCCATGGAAGCCTGGGTGTCGATCAGGCTGTTCATGGCGACACCTTCATCGCAGGCGTTGCTGGAGAGATCACCGCTCGAATTACATGCGGGCACCCAGGTACAGTCGAGACCCGCATAGTAAGGATGGGCAACCTTCCCAATGGTACCTTTGCATCCTTGCTTCCTCGGTCCATCATTGGCCACTTTCGTTGGCGCGCTCCGCTCGACAAGCTTCGAAATGTGCGTCCAAGGCCCTCACATCCTCATCGCGCATCCTTATGATACGGGCCGACTTTACGCGTGAGCGTTGCACCATGAGGGCCACGCCGCATTCAGCCCCAAGGAGAGTATCGAAAAATCCAGCGCCTGCTCAGGAGTTCAACATCGAGCGCATGCACGAGGTCGCCCCTCCCTGCCTCGGGCCGGGGACGGGCGCCAGTGGAGCAGTCACACGGGCCCTGGTCAAGAGAGGATGTCACGAGCTAGTCCACGGAGGTGCCCTGAGCCCCACCAGCCCCGGGGAGTGAAAGCCAGGGAGAGGGGAGGGAAGCAGAGCGGAGCGGACCACCTGTGCGAGGGGGGCATCCTGTTCAGGTGAGCGTGGCTTACTCTTCCGTCGCGAGCCGCGAGCGAAGGCGCAGAGGCGGCGCCAGAGGTCAACCCAGGGCTACGGGCGAGGCCTAATTGCCCAGCGGACGCCCTCACGGCTGCCGAGGTGAGCGTGGCTTACGCTCAGCATACGCAGGCTCTCGAGCAGCGTCGCGGCACACTTCGCGCGCGCCAGCGGAGCTACGGCACGAAGCCCCTGCCATCGGCGAGCGGGCCTCCAGGGATGGGGATCCAGGACGGGACTGGCCCAGAGATCAGGGGACTGGCGCTGCGGAGGGGAGAGGAGGAGAAGAGAAGTTGGACCGGGGGATTGAGGAGGGAGGGGACGGGGTGATGGGGAGAGGAAGTACAGGAAACCCGCATATCAAGGATGAGCGACTTTCCAGGGGTACCTTGTCATCCTCCCCCTTCGGCCCACTCTTGGCCTCTTGCGCTGGCCGCGCCCCGCTCGCAGAGTGTCGACATGGCCCTCCAAGGCCCTTGCAATCTTATCGCGCGTCCTTCTTGTACGGGTTGGCTGCAGAGAGGAAGGGAAAGGGGGGGTGCACCTCGTACGCCCTCGACGGGCCCAGCAGCTTTGGGGGTCCCTCGAGCGGAGATTACCACCCCCAGTGTGTTCCTCGTCCAGGGCGCCCTCGGCGTCGCCGTCGTGGAGGCCAGCGACGCCGTCGCCACCGTCGTGGCCGTCGTCGCCGGCCCCCGGAGGTCGGGCAGCGGGTCCCCATCCTGGCCAACGTGTCCCCGCACGGGCGCTTCCACATGCACGACCTCGACGGCCGGCGGGGGGGTGCTGCCGAGGCCAGAAGGTGTGCACGTCCACCGCCCGGGCACTCGATGCCCCCTGAGACCCCCCGGCATCGCTCGGACGTGTGCAATTTTTTTCTCGACGAGGACCAGCGAGGAGCGTCCTGGATCACTTTGCGAAAAAACCACGCACGAAGCCGAACAAAAACACAGGGAATGGACGTCCGAGCGACGGCGAGGGCGTCGCACTTCTGTTCGCGCGGAGGCCTTCTCGCCCGGCTTCGGGCCCCGGGGCCGGCCGTCACAGATCGATATATCCGGCTCGAGAGCGCCTCGGGAGGATGGGTTGCAGGGCGCTGGTCGTGACTTCTCGCGACGCTATACACTCGGGGGAGCGTAAGACCCGGGTTTGCCAGGACTCGGGTTCGCCATTGTTTTTTGACAACCGCGCCTCGGATTTTGACGAGGAGGAGTTTCGTGGGATGTCTGCAGCGGGAGGCCTCGTCAAAATGCAGGCTCGGCCTCGTCATTTTTGTTGACGACCTCGTCGGGGATTTCCGAGTCCCCCGTACCCGGGTCTTACGTCTCCCCGATACACGCCGGTCGTTGAAAGTAGGTATTTCTGGAATCCCAGATCCCAATGTACTTTTTGAGCGCCTTCCTACTTCAGGAGCCGATATGTTCTGGCTGTGTGTTTTGCTGCTCTCTGGGAGGACCTGGTCCCAATCTGCTACAGTCGGGGCGCTGAAAAAAGGAACCCTCTTCGTTGGGGAGGGGCTCGGTGTTCCTTAATCATGCCACACCTTTCCTAAGGTTTTCCTTACATTTTCGATGGGAAGTCGAAGTTCAACTTATGGAAAAAGGGGCCTCGTTCCTTATTTAGGGTTCCTTAGGTCAACGCCTCGACTGTATATCCGCCTTCCTACGTCATGTTTCTACCTGCTTCTTCCGACCGACGCGTATCGGTTTCTGCAGCCTCGGGGTCTCGGGGAACCGGTGTCCCGGGACAGCAGCAGGCCGTGGACATATGTTCGGGCCTCGAGGGTGGGGGCCGACGGTATTCAGGAGGGGAAAAACCACACAGACACAATTAATTAATCGTCGATCCCCAGGAAAATATGCGAAAATATGGGAAGTGGGGGGGGAAGACAAAACCCCAGAAAATATTAAACATATGGGGAATATGTTTACTTGTGTGTATTTATTTGTGTGTTCTGGGGCCCCTTTAGGTATGCGTGTGCATTGCCTCGGGGCCTCCCGCGGCATCGGTCTCCCAGGCGGTGGGCATGTCTAGTGGGGGCGCATGCCAAGAAACCAGCTGGATCTTGCCAGGGCGCCCTGGGTTTCTTGGATTTTGATGGACTCCCAATCAGGTCTTGACGGTCTTCGATCGACGCATGTGGATTTTCACTGAAGGAATCGCGCATTCCAGGGTTGGGTATCTTGCGGAGGTTTCTTGTGGCCGAGCCCCACTGCAGACAGTCCAGCCTCGCAACGGCGGGCGTTGGCTTGCCTTGCCTTCTTGCCTGCTGCTGCTTGTCTCTCGCAGGGCCCCTCTCCCAGCCAGGGCCGGACGGGGCGACCAGCATCACGACTGATCAGTGTACTGGGCGGGGTCCGAGGACCGGTTTTGAGCCAAGTCTGGCCAGACGGGTGGCATCGTCTGTTCTTCAGTTTTCCGAGCCGCATCTGAACAGCAGGCAGGCTCTTTGAGGGAGGATGGGGAGGAGGAGGGTAAAGGGGAAGTGCGAGGCGAAGGGGACGACGAGATGATGAGCATGATCAGAAAGCAAATAAGGATTTGCGGCGACACAGCGTCGACGACGTCACAAGGTGGCCAAGGACGGACGATGGCGACGATGATGCGGAGAAGGAGAGCAGGGATGAGGGAGGAGGAGCAGCAGGAAGAAGATAGTATCGGGGGAAGCTAGTTGCACTCGCGCCTGCTCCGGCCGCGGTAGCCCTCCACCTATCCCTTCCCTCTAGGCCTCGCAGATGGGGTTCGAGTAGATGGGGTCGGAGGATCGAACCGCTCGATGCGGAGCCTGCTTTACTGCAAACGACATCGGCGATGCATCGGCAACGTCGGCGCTGCATCGCCGCTGCATCGCCGATGCATCGCCGATGCATCGTCGATGTATCGGCGATGCGGCGCGATCCTCCGACGCCATCTATTCGGACCCCATCGGGGAGGCCTCTGGCACTGGGCAGGGCTGGGGTGGTGGACGAGGGGGAGGGTGACAAGGGCGCCCTCGAGGGCGCGAAGTTATTTGCGCTTCACGGTTCGGCTCCGATTCCTCCTCATCCTCCGTTCCTCCCCTTGGAGGCGGCGCGAGAGCGCGAAGTTATCCGCGCTTCGCGCAGCGCGAAGCGCGAAGTTGGGAACCCTTGGTGTTCTCGTTGCCCCTCCTGCGTGTGGCGGAGCAAGATGCGGGGGGGGGGCGCACTAGATGATCACGTCCGGGACGCGATGAGAGTTGTGCTCCTACGATGCAGCCGGCTGAAAGGGGAGGGTGAGTACGGGGCGGGGGTGGCGAAGCATGAAGGCGAGGATTACCAGCCTCGAACGTATCCTTATCCCTAAGATTGACACGCCAAAAGGCGATGACAATCTCAGGGATTCGCCTTCAAAAAATAAGGGAATCCCTAAGATTGGCATCGTGATGAGGAGGTGCCCAACATAGGGATAGGGATAGGCTCCAGGCTGGTAAGAGGAGGATGAAACGAAGGACAGCTGGTTCGCACATGTGGCGTGACCGAGCCAGCGGTGGGGGCTACGATTGGTGAGGCGACTAAGTTCGAGACTCTCTGGCTGCTCGTTGCGGGCCGTGGCTCTACACGGGCTTTGCACTGGTGGGATGTGCAGTGCGTCGTGAACCGCTCCTGCTCCTCCTCTTCCTCCTCCTCCTCCTCCTCCTCCTCCTCCTCCTGCTCCTCCTCTTCCTCCTCCTCCTCCTCCTCCTCCTCCTCCTCCTCCTCCTCCTCCTCCCCGCTGGGCGTCCTGACCAGCACCAGCTCAAAGCTGTTGCTCGCCACTGCGCGGCCAGAGCCCCCCGACTCCCCTGCACTCAACCCGCAACAGAAGGCGGGACATCCTTCCCAAGGGCACCATTGCATCCCTGCCTCCTCGGCCCATCCTGGACCGCCTTCGTTGGCCGCGCTCCGCTCGAGAAGCTTCGAGATGGCCCTCCAAGGCCCTTGCATCCTTGTCGTGCATCCTTCTGATACGGGCCTGGCATAGCTCGGACCCGTGTGTTTTCTTCAGCGAGAACCGTTGAGGACCATCCTGGACCATCGAGCAAAAAAAACACGCACGAAACCGAACATTACACGGGAAATGGACGTCCGAGCGACGGCAAGCGGGTCGACCGCATGCAGGCCAGCCTTGCGACCTGCCTGCTCCAGCCGCATCCTCGCCAAGGCCCTCCCCAGAAGCCTCTGCGCTCGGCGGCGAGCCCCGACGGAAGAAGCGAGGAGGGGCGGGTCGCTTCAGCAGGCTCGGCAGTCCCCCCCCCCGCCTCAGAGAGGTTTTTTTTTCAGGAGGGGAAAAAACACACAGACACAATTATTCGTCCATTCCCCAGAAAATATTGGAAAATATGGGCAGTGGGGGGGGAGACAAAGACCCAGAAAATATAGGAAAATATGCGGAATCCTTTTATGTGTGTATGTATTTGTGTGTCCCAGGGCCCCTTCCTGTTTGGAGGCCCTCCCCAGAGACACGAAGAACCTCCCTTGGAAGGCGCGATGGCCTCTGAGAAGTCCGGCCGCCGCCCGAGAGGGCCTTCGACTCCTCACGTCGCCCCTTCGCCCGCCGCCGAGTGTATGTTACCAGTTTGAAACATATCCCTATCCCTATGTTTGACATCACCTCACCTCGATGCCGATCTTAAGGACTCCCTCAGTTTTTGAGGGCCTATCCCTAAGATTGTCCTCGCTTTTTGCTCGCCCATCTTAGGGATAGGGATACGTTTGCGGCTGGTTAGTATGGATCTCGTCGCCCGGGGGGCGGGGGGGGGTCGTCGCTCGGGCCTCTCGCGGGCGTGCGGGGCGATGCAGACACACCGGGAACGCCCTCGGCGAGGCGCAGCCGCTGGAGCGCATCCCGAGGGCGGAAGACCGCCAAGGCGCTACGAAAGCGCCCGGAAACCTAGAGCCTCGAGGTTCGAACCTCGAAGTTCCCCCCCCTTTGCTCGCTGCCGAGGTTCAGCACGAAGGCGCAACTTCGTCGGAGCGACGACGCGCTGGCCTGCCAGAAAAGGAGGCGGAGGAGGAGGAGGAGGAGGAGGAGGAGGAGAAGGAAGGGAGGAGGAGTAGAGGAGGAAGCAGGGTGGATATTGTGGCGAAGGAGGAAGGAGGATAAGAAGGGGGAGGAGGAGGAGGAGGAGGAGGAGGAGGAGGAGGAGGAGGAGGAGAAAGAGGAGAAAGATGGAAGTATGGAGTAGGAGGGAGGACCTCACCCCCAGTTGCTGGGCTCCCCCATGTGTGACAGACGGGGGTGGAGAGGAGGGAGAAGGGAGGAGGAGGGAGGGAGGAGAGAGGAGGGAGAAGGGATGAGGAGGGGGATGACGGAGGGAGGGAGCATGAGAGGAGGGAGAAGGGGCGGGGGAGGTGGAGGGGGTGAAGGACGACGGGGAGAGGGGGGAGGAGGGAGGGGGACGGGGGAGAGGAGGGAGGAGGGAGGCGAGGGAGGAGGGAGGGGGAAAAGGGGAGGGGAGACGTGTCGTGGGAGGGAGGAACATGAGCAGGGGAGCGAGGCGTGTCTCTCCCGCCCCGGACCGCCCGCGCAGGCGTCGGGGGCATCCCGGCCATCATGCGCGAGCTGCTGGACGCGGGAGCGCGCCGTCGCGCACGGGGGGGCGCCGGCGGACCCCCCACCCCTCCCTTTCCCCGGGAGCCTTGAGTTAAGTCGGGCCTTGAGTTAAGTCGGACCCCCCCCTTCCTTTCCTCGGGGGCCCCCAGACTCAAGTAGTGGCGAAGCGTCCCGGCTCGCCTGTAGCCCTACCAAACAATGATCTAAGAACCTTTTGTGGTTTCCACGAACTGTTCTTTGAACATGTATTTCGGAGTCTGCCTTGTTTGAACACATCGGTTTATGTTCTAAGAACCATATTTTGGTTCTTAGAACATGTTTGGGTTCTTACAACATTTCGTGGCAGGACTTTAGGAATGCCGGGACGGTCGGTCCCTGCTCAAAAAACGGTGTGGTGACCAAACCGTGCGATGAGTCGGTGGGGATTCGGGGTCGCCGCACGGTTTTGGGACTCGGGCCGTTCTCCGAGTACGTCTCGGGCAACAGGGGCCTCGGGAGTCCCAAGACCGTGCGGTGACGGACCGTGCGGTGAGGTCTTGGGGGATTTCGAGGCCCTCGGGAGCCTTGAGTTAAGTCGGGCCTGTCCCTCTACAGGGGGAATACTAGAAAATTGTAAAAAAACATTGTCGGGGGACTATGTTTTGAGTATTCTCTGGCCATTTTGGAGTGTTCTTTCCGTATTTGTTATCCTTCGTGGAAAATCCCTTTGTAGGGGGACACGCCCGACTTAAGCTTTGACGGGGGTCAATGCAAACGGGGGTCAGCCAGAGAGCCCGATCTTGCAGGATCCTGCACGGCCAGGGTCGCGTTGACCTGGGCTTGGGTGCAGGATCCTACAGGATCCTTCGCATGGACCCGGGCTTGGGTGCAGGATCTTGCAGGAGGTTGCAGAATTCTGCTAGGGCTGACTGACCCGGGTCTGGATTGACCAGGGTCAGAAGATCCCCCCTTTCCCTGCCGAGGCACGCGCACAGTGGAGGCCCATGCCAAGAAACACCCTGTTTTCAAGCAGTGGCGGAGCGTCCTGGCTCGCCTTGTAGCCCTACCGGACAATGCTCTAAGAAACTTTTTTTGCGGTTTCCACGCAATGTTCTTGGAGCATTTCTGGCGGAGTCGATCTTGTTTTGCCACATCGGGCTTACGTTCTAAGAACGTTGATGTTGTTCTCTGAACAATTCTGGGTTCTAGGAACATCTCGTGGCAGGACTATAGGAGTGCCGGGACGGTCGGTCCCTGCTCCACGCTTGCCTCCAGGGTGCCCTGGGCTTCTTGGGCTCCGATCGTGACGCGGCGGCAGGCGTGACGTGCCCACACCGAAATCAGTGGACGCCCCGGGGGGCTCCGGGCTCGGGGTCTCCTGCGGAGGGCTCCTTGCGGTCGAGCCCCCGGTGCACGTCCTCGTCTCAGTGGCCGAGGCCCGCCGTGGCCGGCGGAGCCCCCCCCCTGTTCCTCGCCCCGCGCTGCGCTGCCTCTGGCAGCACGGCGACTGCAGGCTGGAAGCCTTTTTGGGGGATGCCGAGGAGGAGCAGGACGGGGAGGAGGAGGAGGGAGGAGGAGGGAGGAGGAGGGAGGAGGGAGGAGGAGGAGGAGGAGGAGGAGGAGGAGGGAGGAGGAGGGAGGAGGAGGGAGGAGGAGGAGGAGGAGGAGGAGGATCCGGGCACACACTATCATGAGGAGAAGGATGAGGAGGAGGGAGGAGGGAGGAGGAGGATCCAGGCACAACAAGGAACGACGACCGCATTCAAGTGGATTTGTCGGGACGGCTCCCCGGGGGAGAAGCCACCCACCTCGAGACGAGCACCCTGGTTGTGGCTGTGGTCGTGGTCGGTTCGGCCGTTCTGGGACGCCACATCGACCACAACACGTGTTCCGACGATGTGCGGCATGCGCAAGACATTCTCAGGGTGTGTCGTCGATGTGGTTGTGGTCGCTTGCTGTCCCGCGATAGAGGAGGGGGAGGAGGCGCTGGAGTCCGTCGGTCACAGGGGGAGCTCGCTTGGGTTACCTCCTCACGAAGGCCTAGGGTGAGGACACATCGGTCCATGGCGCTCTGCTACGGTCGGCGCGCCCGATACGTCTTTCCGTCCCCCGGGGTATCATAGGGGAACGAACAATGGCATAAACATAGAAACTCGGAGGTCCGCGCGGATTTCTTGGATCCGCGCTGGACCCCCCTCCCTGTCACGCGGCGCGCGCCAGGGGGGGCTCAGCGTCGATCCGAGAAATCCGCGCGGACCTCCAAGTTTTTCTGTTCATGTACTCCAGATTTCGTAATAAAGGGAGGGGGGTCTCATTTCGGGGGGGGGTCTCTTCCAGGCTATCTTGGAGGGCCTGGGGGGGTCTGGGGACGATGTTTTGGGGGGTTCTCCCACGGGGGAGGTCTGAAATGGCTTGTCTTGGAGGGTCCAGACCCCCTCCCTTTTATTGCGAGATCTGGAGTAACTTTACCTTCCCCTATCTCAGAGATTCCCAGCTCAGCCTCATGCGGACTTCTCATCGTGCTCTCGTAATGCGCTCGCCTCGCGGTCCCTCCGTCGCAGTTCCGCCCTTGCGCGCGCGGGCGTGCCAGGATGCAACTCTTGGGAGGTGAATTCAGCATCGGCGCTGGTATATCCGCGGTCGAAAACCAGCCTAATCTGGCGCAGTCCTGGCTAGTTCCGCTGTCTTCTGCGCAGAGACCCAGCAATAGGACTCAGCAAGCATCCAGCACAGGGGGATTGTTGATAGTCATTTTCATGTGTAGCTCCTCGCCGATCGCACAGCAGTGCAGTCAGTTGTGTGTCACATGTTCACATGCGGACTTCATGCCTTAGCCGGCTCAGTCGGGCTTCATTTCGGGCGTCATCTGGGCTCATCGGGCTAATCGGGCTCAATGGCCCTGGCAAGCGGGCTTAATCGCCCTTGCTAGTTCTTGCGAAGACCTCCCAGAGGTTGCTTCCTAACCTCGTCGCAATTCTGCCCTCGCGCGTGTGTCGGGGGAGGCCAAAAGGGGTTGATGACTCAGGTGGCCGGACATCATGGCCGGAGCCATGATATCTCTCCAGATGTCATGGTTTTTTCCGTCTCATTTCAACATTTGGGCCGCGTACGTGCTTCGGGCCAGGACTCGCTAACCCCCTCGTGTTATGCTGCATCCAGGATTGGCTACCCCCCTCCTGTTACGTTGCATCTTCGGGGGACCTTGTCTGTCCTGGAAACTGCGATTTTTCTTTGTGCCCGTGGATGCGACGCAGATTCGACGTGGCTTTGACGTGGATTCGACATGGATTCGACACGGATTTGACGAGGACCGCGGCGGCAGGGGATATACACGGCCCCCGAAGATGCAGCTGAATTTTTGGCCGCCCCCCCCTGGTGGCCGCCCCAGAGACTAGGACGCCATTCTTGGGAGGTTCAATGCTGTATCGGCGCTGGTATTACCGCGGTCGATAACCGGCTCAATCTGGGTCAATTTGACTCAATCCCGTTTGCAAAATCCCGCTCGATACGGCTTCATCCGGCTGGATCCCAGGCTCAATCCAGCCGGGTCCGGTGAGATGGCCCCTCAATCGGGCTTAATCTTTTCTGTAGGAGGCCACATGTGAACCCTACCCCACCACCCCGCGATTTCTAATTAAGGTGGGAGGTGAGGTTCACTTTGTTCGGGATCTCCCGAGCGAACTGAACCACACCTCCTCCCTCAGAAATCGTGGGGTGGTGGGGTAGGATTCGCATATGGCCTCCTACTCTGAGCGTTCTAACGAAGGCCTCCCAGGATGCCTCCTAACAGGGAGGGGGCGTCGGCCAGGACTCCTCCACGGCGGCTGCATGACCGTCACTGGCAGGACGGTGGCAGAGAACCTGGAGGGCGTTGCGGCTGTGCGGGGCCGGGGACCGCAGGAGGCGCGGGGGGGGCCTCCGCGGAGTCTGCGCCGTCGCCGTCTGATTGCTCCTCCTCCCTCCTCCCCCTCCTCCCTCCTCCTCCTCCTCCTCCTCTTCCTTCCTCCTCGTCCTCCTCCTCCTCCTCCTCCTCCTCCTCCACCTCCTCCTCCTCCTCCTCCTCCTCCTCCTCCTCCTCCTCCTCCTCCTCCTCCTCCTCCCCCTCCTCCTCCTCCTCCATCGACGAAGAAAAACGCCATCAACAGAAACATCGGCGCTCCGCGCGGATTTCTTGGATCCGCGCGGGGCCCCCCCGCTGCGGCGCCTCCGGCGCTGCCCCTGGCGCGCCCCGCGCGCCAGGGAGGGGGATCCGGCGCAGGTCCAAGAGGTCCGTGCGAGCCACCATAAGGTGATGCTTATGCCGTTCCTGGATCCTCCAGTATAGGCCTTCGGCCCATCCCGCCACCTTGCTTGGGTTGTGGGTCTGAATGGGGGAACGGACAACGACATAAACATACAAAGTCGGAGGCCCGCGCGGATTTCTCGGATCGGCGCTGGGGCCCCCTGGCGGCGCCTCCGGCGCCGCCACTGGCGCGCTCCGCGCGCCAGGGAGGGGGGTCCAGCGAGTGCCCAAGAAAAAAGCGCGGACCTCCGAGTTTTTAATGTTGATGTCACTGTTCGCCCCTAGTGAAGCCTGTCGGATGTTCGCTAGGGTCTCGTGGGGAACCTCCTCGTGGGCCTCCTGGAGGCAGCTCTGAGCGCCTCTTGCGGGTCGTGCTGGGGCCTCTCTTTGGGCCTGCTCGGGGGCTCTTGGAGGTCTTCTGGGGCCTCTTGGGGTCCACAAATACCCATCGGTCGTTGAAAGTAGGTATTTTTGGATTCCCAGATTCCAATCTACTTTCGGCGCCTTCCTACTTCAAGGGTCGAGTCGTTTTCCCTCTCCCTTCCTCTTCAGGGGGCGTGCGGAAACCCAATCTATTTCCAGCGCCTTCCTACTCCGTGTTTCTACCTACTTCTCCCGACCGATGGGTACGCCCACCTCGCTTGGGCAGAGCCCCGGGCCCGCCCTCCCGGGGGCCTCCCAGGGAGCCCCGGGAGGGCCTCGAGGCGGCCCAGGGCGGCTCCGAGACGCCCCGCGTGAGCTTTTGGACGACCCGGGCCACTTTCCCGACGGCCGCGAGACCCCCACGAGCGCCCACGACGGTGCCAAGGGGCCTCCAAGATGCCCCCGACACCGCCCACGAGACTATCAAGGCAGCGCTCGAGAGGCCAACATCAGGGGAACAAGCAGAGGAGAATATCCATGAGTTCTGCGTTCTCGCATTGTCGCTTCCGATGCGCTTCCGAGGCGCGCGCACAGTCCCCACGAGAGTTCGACGATGCCTCCAAGAGTCGGGGGCGGAAAAGAGGGGGGTGATGACTAGGGGGGGGGATATCATGGCGGGGACCATCATATTTCCCCAGATTGCACGGCGCCTCTTCTTATTCCATTCCATCCCTGGCCCCGCCCCCCTGGGCCGCGCACATGCCGCCGGTCATGATTTGCGCCCCCCCCCCTCTTGGACGCCCCCCTCTTGGCCGCCCGCGAAAGAGACGCCCCCAGCGGCCCCGAGAGGCCAAGGCGCTCGAAGAGGCACACAGGGGGGGCCCCAAGGGGGGGGGGGCAAGAGGCCCCGAGGAGCTCCTCCTCCTCCTCCTCCTCCTCCTCCTCCTCCTCCTCCTCCTCCTCCTCCTCCTCCTCCTCCTCCCCCCACGGGCCCCCCCGCGGGCTCCCAGAGGCCCAGGGAGCGCCCACGTGACCTCCAGCTCGGAGTTACCAGGAGGGAAGGGGAATCGAGGAGGAGGAGGAGGAGGAGGAGGAGGAACTCTCAGACCACGTGCTGGAACACCATTGGTGAACCTGCGGAGCAGTAGGAGGAGGAGGAGAAGGAGGAGTAGCAGTAGAAGGCAAGCTAGCCAGGTCGAGCGAGTCAAGCATGGCATGCCCAGTCCCACCCGCCCTCCCACAACATGAGAAACTGTGCTGGCGCATCTGGGGACCGAAATCAGATCGGCAAGGTGGTTTGCCACAGCTGATGCAACCGCGATGGCGGTTACCGATGAGAAATCCTTGGCGCGTCTCAAAGATGGCGCTGGCATTTCAGCACGAGCCGAGGAGGCCCCAGGAAGCCTCGGGAGGCCCCAGGAGGCCTCAGGATAAGCCCCAGCGACCCCCAGGAAGCCCGAGGAGGCTTCAGGAGGGCCCAGAAAGCCCCAGGTAATTCCAGGAGGCTTCAGGAAGCCCAAGGAAGTGTCAGGAAGCCCCCGGGGAATCCCAGGAAGCCCCAGGATGCCTCAGGAGGCTCCAGGAGGATCCACGAGGCCCTGGGGAAGCCCCAGGATGTCCCAGGAGACCCTGGGAGGCCCCAGGGGGCCCTAGGCACTCAACGAATTGGCGAGCGAAACATGTTCCCCGCGCCTTAGCGGGAGCGCAACTTTCAGAAAACATGCGCGCGGCGCCGGAGCGAGAGCGACATTTCGCCCTGTCGCGCGCGATGTGCACCGCGCCCCCTTCCTGCCACGCATTTCGCAAAGCCGACGACAAGACCATCCCCACTGAGAAGAAACATGTCGACTTTGTATGGTTTTTGACAGGTAGGATGGCCCCTCCCGCTTGGGGTTGCCCCAAACGCGCGCGCGCGATGTGCGCCGCGTCCCATTCCTGCTACGCATTTCGCATCGTCGACGACGCATTTCGCATCGTTCCCCGCAAAGCAGCGCCACGCCCGGTCGGCCCAGGGCTGGTCTTGATGCAGGACGCGGGGATCAACACGCACGGCGATGATTTCTTTGGGAATACCACCGGGAAGAATCTGGGAAACATCGTAGCCGCGGCGCTGTTGTTCGCCTGGGCACGCCACGCCGTTTTCCCCGCAGTGTCCCTTTTTCCTCCTTTCTCCACCGCACCTCTCCTTCACTCCTTCCTCCCTCCCCCTCCTTCGCTCAGCTTCGTGCCTCATGGAGTGGTAGGAGTCCCAATTGGGAAAAATATGGAAATCCTACGAATCTTTATTGTCGCAAGTTCGCCCTCCCACCGATCCCCAGAATGCGTGTCCGCCTCTCCCATCCCTCGCTGTCCGTTTCCACTGATCGCTCTCCCTCCTGCTCCCCGTTTCACAGGGCATTCTCGTTCTTCTCTCCTTGTCGCTTTCGAAGACCACCCAAACACGCCCCCAGGCAATTGCCACGATACATCCTCTCTCCTCCTCCCTCCCGTCTCCCAAATCGTTCCCCTGCTCCCCTGTTCCCCGCCCCCCCCCGCTGGATGGCTACCCCCCTCCTGTGGTCGTGGCCCTTTGGGCCTGGCGTTGTCGTCGTCTTCGTCGTCGTCGTCCTCGTCGTCGTCGTCGACGTTGACGTTGTCGTTGTCGTTGTCATTGTCGTTGTCGCCGTCGTCTTCCGTCGTCGTCGTCGTCGTCGTCGTCGTCGTCCCCGCTCCCATGCCATCAGGGGGGGGATTGCCTGTGAACCCGGGGGCCCATCCCATCTGGCGGGTGGGTGGGCTGTGAACGCTCGCCGCTGCATCATATACACTTATATGTATGTAGGTATGTGCATACATGCATGCGTGTGTGTTTTTAACCGTGTGTAGCACCCAATTCCTCGTCCTTCTCCGCCCACTTTTCAGCACCTCTCCCTCCCATCCGCTACCTCTTCCCCCCTTTTCTCTCTTCTTCCCCCCTGTCCTGCTCTTGATGTCCTTTCTCATCCCCGTTTTTGTTCCTCCTGTTTTTTGCGCCTCTCCCATCAGTCCAAAACGTGGCTACTACTCTCTCTCCCCTGACCCTGTCCGGAAGATCTCGCCCCCCCCCTTTCGCGTGGCTCTTTTGCACAGGATTGGGCAGAGTGATTCGTTTCCCATGTGTGTTGTCATCCGATTGCTCCGGTGTGAAACATTGTACAGTCGGGGCCCTGAAGAAGGAACCCTTTTCGTTGGGGAGGGGCTTGGTGTTCCTTGCTTGTTCCGCAGCCTGCCTTCGGTTTTCCTGAGGTTTCCCATGGGAGATCGAAGTTCAACTTATGGGAGAAGGTGCCTCGTTCTTTATTTGGAGTTCCTTAGGTCAACGCCCCGACGGTATTCCCGCTGCAGCTTGGGTCTCATGTTCGGATCGGCGCTGTGCTCGCGTTGTTGAGCATGGCGCTCTCGCCCAAGCGCAGGGCCGCTTTTCCCTGGGTCCGAGTCCCCTTGGCATCGCTCGGACGTGTGCATTTTTCCTTCGGCGAGGACCATCGAGGAGCATCCTTGATCATTTGGCGAAAAAAACACGCACGACACCGAAACAAAAAACAGGGAATGGACGTCCGAGCGATGGCGAGCTGGTCCTCCTGCGCTTTCCCACCCCTTCCACTCCAGTACTTTTTGCTGCGGTTCGTCGGCGTCCTCCTCCCTCCTCATCCTCCACCTCATCATCCTGCTCATCCTCCTGCTCACCCGCCACCTCCTCGTATGAAGGTAGCTCCCCTCCTCCAAGTGCGCAAACCACGATGGAATGTTGTTGTTGTTGGTGGTGGTGTTGGTGTTGGTGTTGTGGTGTTGTTGTTATGATGCTGTTGGTGTTGTTGATGTTGCTGTTGTTGCTGGTGTTGTTGGCGCTGTTACTGTTGCTGTTGCTGTTGCTGTTGCTGTTGTTTTTGGTGTTGCTGCTGCTGCTGTTGTTGTTGTTGTTGGTGTTGTTGTTGTTGTTGTTAGTGTTAGTGTTAGTGTTAGAATTAGTGTTAGTGTTCGTGTTGTTGTTGTTGTTGTTGGTGTTGTTGTTGTTGTTGTTGTTGCTGGTGTTGGTGTTGGTGTTGTTGTTGTTGTTGTTGTTGGTGTTGTTGTTGTTATGGTCGGTCTGGTTATTGTGATCGATAGTGTGATTGTTCTTGTTAGTGTTGTTGTTTCTGTTGTTGATGTTGAGTTCCACGTCGGCTGCGACACGCGTCTGCGGCTCGAGAACACTTCAGCGCAACGGGAAGGGTGGGACAGGATGTCAGACATGGTGCGAGCGCACCTACAGCTTGACCCCCCCCCCTCTTGCTCCTCCTCTGGTGCCTCTCTTCTTCCTTCCTCGGCCCTTCTCTCTCCCTCGGGCTCTCTTTGTTCCTCCTCTCTCGCCATCTTCATTTCTGATGGCGCGATGCGGTTGCGCGCGTGAGCTTGTCCTCCAGCAAATTTAGGTCGGGCATGTCCTCCTACAAGCGGACCTTGGGAGGAAAATAATACAGACTTAGTCAAAAAGCAAGCAAACATAGACAAACGAGCACGAAGCATCGTCACCACACTAGTTTGTCTACTATTCTTGAGTTTTCCTCTTGTCGAGGGACATGCCCGACTTAACATTTGATTCACCTTCGGGCGTGTTGCCTGACGTCGTCGAACTGTCTTCGTGACCTTGGCTGGCAATCGGAGCTCTCTGCACGCACCGCTGGTTGAACGTGCGGCTGCCTGCAGCCAGCGCCCGCCGCTCCATCTTTCCGGCCCCGCTCTGCCTCCCCTCCTCCCTCCTCCTCCCCCTCCCTTGCACACCCCAGACGCTCCCGCTCTCCTCCCACGTCCCTCCCCCATTCCCCTCCTCCTCCCTCCCCCTTCCCTACCCTGCACGCCCCAAGCCCTCCCCCTCTTCTCCCGCTTCCCTCCCCCACTCCCTGCACATGGCCACATAGGGGGCCACGGCCCGACTTCTCCCGCCCAAGTGGGCGCGGCCCTACGACAAGCGGGGCTGGATGGACGCTCGCTCGCTCGCTCCCCTCCCCTGCACCCCGCACCCGCCCCCAGAGGAGGAGGAGGAGGAGGAGGAGGAGGAGGAGGAGGAGGAGGAGGAGGAGGAGGTGGAGGAAGAGGAGGAGGAGGAGGAGGAGTAGGAGGAGGAGGGAGGAGGAGGAGTCCCCCGCACGCCCCCGCCTCTCCCTTCCGGGTCGTTCTCTCGCCCCCCCCCTTCGCTGCCCGCCGCGAACCCCGCCCCGCAGGTGCTGAAGCCGTTCTCGGACCCGTTCGCGCCGAGCGGCAACCACATCGTGGTGCTGAAGGTCGGAGGTTGATAGACCTCCTACCCCTGACGCGTCGATTCAGGAATTGGCCGTTGTCGGTTCGCGAGAGGGCGTCGCGGCCGTCATCTTTGCGGGTCGGAGTCCAGGTCCGTCGGTTTCGGTCCCAGGCCGTTTTCACTAATGGGAGATGTACTAAATGATGGGCCTGTTTTCCACCATCACCACCATAAGTTGGAGGGGGGAAGGAGGACGAGGAGGAGGAGGACGAAGAGGAGGAGAAGGAGGAGGAAGAGGAGGAGGAGGAGGAAGAGGATCCCCTCCCCCTCCAACTTATGGTGGTGGTGGTGGAAAACAGGCCCATCACGAAAGGGAGGTTTGTCCACCGCCGAGAAGGGGAACCTGGCGCCGCAGTCTGCGCTGGTCAAGCTGTCAGGCCACGCGCAGCGGTCGGCGGTGCGCGCGAGGGGGTGGCGCGAGCGGGGCCGACCGTCGGTATGGGCATCGGGCGAGGCCAGGACGAGGGCTCCTCCTCCTCTTCCTCCTCCTCCTCCTCCTCCTCCTCCTCCTCCTCCTCCTCCTCCTCCCTCCCTCCTCCCTCGTCCCTCTTCTTCTCCTCCTCCCCCCTCCTCCTCCTCCTCCTCCTCCTCCTCCTCCTCCTCCTCCTCCTCCCGTCCCAGAGCGTTCAGAGCGTTCCACCAGAGCGTTCCAGAACGCTCTCAGAGCGTTCCGCAGCGCCCTCGGAAGGCCGCGGCGCCCGAGGCGGCCTCCAGAGCCGCCGGGTCTCAGAGGTTCCCGATGTACGGTCCTCACCCGAACAGTTCCTCCTCGTCCTGGCCTCGTCTTGGCAGGGTGCTCCTCAGATTGGCTCGGGGGCCTCACGGGCGGCTTCTCAGAGGGCGGGCGGGCTCTGGAGGCGCCCCCTGGCGTCGCAGGAGGCCGCCCTCGCCTCGCGCCACCGCCGTGTCCATGCCGCCAGGGAGGCTCGAGGGCCATTCATTCTCTTCCTCCTCCTCCTCCTCCTCCTCCTCCTCCTCCTCCTCTCCTCCTCCTCCCTTTCCTCCTCCTCCCCCTCCCTCCCCCTCCATCCTCCGCCTCCTCCTCCTCCGCCTCCATCCATATCCTGGGGTCGTGAAGAAGCACGATCGGTGCTCGCGTGTGTCCCGTTTCGGACCGCGGGCCCCTCGCGCGTCGATCTCCACGTCGAACCGCGGTGCATCAACCTGAGGCCAGGGGCTGCAGCAGTTCTTTTCACGGTGGCGCGGCGGGGGGGTAGGCCGATACGCCGGGTTTTCTTGAGTACGTGACGAGGTTGTGTTGTGATGGAATATCGTTTCTGTGCGTCGCCACCCAGCGTTTGATGGTGTTGATCTGTCCGCGCGCAATTATCTGAAGGAGGTTCACAGCCAACAGCTCACGCCTGCGTCTTGCGTTGCATATTCGTCTTCACGGCGTGGTGGGATGTCACATACGCGCTGGCATTTTGAGTTGATCAATGTGGGATGGGATCATTGTTACCAGCTTGAAATTACATGCCGGTCGTTGGAAGTAGGTATGTTTGGATTCCCAGACCCCAATCTTCTTCAAGCGCCTTCCTAATTCAAGAATCGACACGCTTTTGCTGTTTTTTGTTGTTCTCTGGGTGGGCCTGGACCCAATCAACTTAATATACTTCTTCCGACCGACGTGTACATGGGGCAACTCCCGCCACCATGCCAGCCCATCATTTGGGATTGCGACCGCTTGAGGGGCGCACAGAGGGCCGTGCCGTGTGACTTCTCGTGTCCCGAGGCTTGAGAGAGATGTGACACGCGCTCCCGCGTCGTGTCGAGGGGTCGTTCCTCATCTTCGTCGTCGTCTTAATTGATTTCTCTTCTTCCCTCCTCCCCCTCCTCAAGGGCTCCCTCGCGGGCGCGAAGTCATTCGCGCTTCGCGCTTCGTTTCCGATTCCTCCTCATCCTCCTCTCCTCCCCTGAGAGGCGGCACGAGAGCGCGAAGTTGTTCGCGCTTCGCGCAGCCCGAAGCGCGGAGTTGGGAGCCCTTGCTCCTCCCCTTGCCCCTCCTCCCCCTGCGGCACGATGAGGCAATGGAACAGCTTCTTGAGGGCCTCTTGGAGCCTAGAGGTGTCCTGGTGGCTCGTCGGGTGCCTCCCAGTCTTGGGACTGCCTCGGGGCCGCTTGTGGGCTCCCTGGGCCGTCTCGGGGCCCTCTTGGGCAGCCTGACGCTTTGGGAGCTCGTCTGTGGGACCTCTGCTGCCGGCCTTGGGCCCCCTTCTGGGCACCTCTTGAGCCGCGTTGGAGCCCTCTGGACCACCATCGGGCCCTCTTGTGCCATCTTGGGGGCCCTCTTGGGCAGTGCACGCGACGCTCCGCTTCGAGAGGGGGGGCGGCCCGCAGAAGATGACACAGCAACCTGCCAGGCATCCCCTGGCATTCTTCAGGAGGGGAAACAACACACAGACACAATCAATCGTCGAGTCCCGGGAAAACATGGGAAAATATGGAAAGTGGGAGGAAGACAAAAACCCAGCAAATATAGGAACATGTGGGGCATATTTGTATTTGTGTGTATTTATGTGTGTGTCCTTGGGCCCCACTCAAGTCTGCCACACCTCTGCGTGGAGTGGTGGGGGATGGCGGAGTGTCGAAGCCATGGGAGAGTGCACCCGCCGCCACCGCGGGCCGCCGTCGATCTTCCCCGCTCTCTTGGGAGCAGCGGGCGACCGCCACCCGTGCCCAGACCTCGTGCCAGGGGGGTCGCCTGCATGCTCGAGAGGGCAGGGCAGGAGTGGGTGGAGTGACGTGTCTCGTGGTTGCACGTGTCTTGGCGGGTTGGTTGCTCGTGGTTCAATTCCACATCTTTGCCTGCTGCTTCCTTCCTGCCTCCCCTGCCCCTCCCCCTGTATGCATGCGCGCTGTCTCGCGAATCGGTCATGGCCTGTTCCCGGTCCTCTCAGAGGGCCAGCGCGCCTCGCAGCGCGCCCGTCGCCCAGCCATGGGCCACCTCCGGGCGACGACGGTTCGCTTCGCTTCGCTTCGCTTCGCTTGGTGGGTTCGCGTCTGCCTGATCGCCGATGCCGAGGCAAGCAGGATATTCGGCATACTGGGCCGGCACGCTGCTACGACACGGAGGCGGAGGCGTCCATGACTATTCCTGCGCATGGTATTGTCTAAAGATACATGTGTATATATGTACTTCGCAGGTGGTGTTGGCTCAATCGGATGATTTTGCATGTTAGCTTCTTGCAATGTTCAATACAAGTACGTGCAATCACCCTCGAACCCATCGTTCAGCCTTTCAAGTGTGCTGTGCCCTTTTGGAAGTGTCAGTCGGCCTGGTAGTGTCAGGACTAGCACTGGGCTGTGGGAACACATGTCGGAAGTGAATGTGGTATGGATGGGTCGTATGTGAACATTGATGCGTAGAGACAGCCTTGTATTACCTTCCGTTACGGTTTGCAGGCCTTTGCCGCCGTCATGGACGGCACGATCAAGAAGGCGAGTGCACCCATTCTGCTTGCAGGCATGCTTCGAAGGATCAGGGGCTCGCCCCCCGAATGCTCTCAAGCGACGGGTACCGCCGCTTTGACCCGATCCCAGAAGCTGTGGATGCGGTGCTTGCTTATAGTCGGACCGAGGAATACAATCGAGGCCGGGCTCGGGGAGGATGCCCTAGTGTTATTCGTGTTTGTTTGGTGTTATTGTGCGTCCTAGGGTAGGGTTCCCTCGAATGCTCTTCCTTTGGGCTGGTGGAGGGTCTCATGTTCTTGAAGGGTGCTCTTCTGTCCTAGATCCGATTGTTTACCCAGGTTTCCCCTCCGTGGGTAACAGTAACGATCGTACGTAGGGGGGGATCTGTCCTGCACCCCCTCCCCACATGTTGCTGGTCGCGCGCATACAGAGGAGACCCACTCCAAGGAACACCCTGCTTGCCTACAGGGTGCCCTGGGCTTCTTGGGTTTCGATGGTTTTGCTGTGGAAGGCGTGACGTGCCCACACCAAAAATCAGTGCACGCCCTGGGGGTCTCAGGGTTGGGTTTCTCGTGGCAGGTTTCCCGGTGGACTGGCCTCCGCTGTGCTCTGGCGATCGCACCGCGCCCCTGCCCCGACGTGCGCCTCCCCGCACAGGCTCGACTGGTGCCCAGAGCCCCCCGCCCGCCCCTCCCGCCCACCCCCCAGCAAGGACCGTCACCGAGAATACTAAGATGGGCCAGTGTTCCACCACCGCTGTCATAGGCAGGACGGGGGAGGCTCTCCCCGGAGGTCTTCCTCCTCCTCGTCCTCCTCCTCCCTCCTCCTTCCTCTCCTACCTATGGTTGTGGTGGTGGTGGAACAACTTCCCGCCGGATTGATACAACATAGGAGCGTTCTCTGGGCATCGCTCGGACGGGGAAGCGGAGGTAGCACGGAACGAGCAGCCAGGCTTTTCTTCCCGGAAAGGGCGCAGACCCCGGGTTCTCTTCTAGGGGTTTGCCCCCCGATCTGACGGCTGTAGGGCCGGCGAATTTGTTTTGCGATAAATAACGAGGTCGCCTAGGGCCGGCGAATTAAAAAGTTGAGGATGTCTCGAACAAAGCGCTTGTTTTTCAGAATTTGTTGAGGACTTCTCGAGCGAAACGCTTGTTTTGTGTTATAGATTGTCCTCTCCTGGGGACCTGAATTCAGAGGATCTCTCAAGTGACATGCTTGTTTTCACGTGCCCAGGTCTTGATGACGTCTCGAGCGAGACGCTTGGTTTCACGTCTCCAGGTCGCCCAGGCAGAGGTCTAGGATTTGTTGAGGATGTCTCGAGCGAGACGCTTGGTTTTACGCGTCCTCGTCGCACAGGCGGATGTCTAGCATGAGGATGTTTTGAGGAAGTCTCGATCGAGACGCTTGTTCGCACGTGTCCAGGTTGCCCAGGCGGATGTCTAGCATGATGATGTGTTGGGAACGTCTTGAGCGGAACGCGTGTTTCCACGTGTCCAGGTCGCCCAGGCACAGCACAGCCCTCGGCACGGTACATCAATATCTATACCCTTAGCATTGCAGCCTGGCATGTTGCCTGGCACGTTCCGCGGAGCATCCCGTGGCAAGTCCTCCTGGCACGTCGCGCGGTGCACGTCCATTGGCACGTTCCGTAGCGCGTCCCCTTGGCACGTCCCGCGGTGCGTCCCCAGGGAACGTCCCCTGGCACGTCGCCTGGCGCGTCCCTTGGGACGTTCCGCGGCGCGTCCTCCTAATTAGCATGTCCCCCTGTCGATTAGCTCTGGGGCAGCTACTACGTGCTGAGGCAGCTCGAGCTTAAGATCCAGATCAGTTCTGTCAGGACTCGGATGCAAAGGAGGACTCGATCCACAACGCTATAGAGCACAATCGCGGCATGGCACATCGCAATTCAGCACGGCCCAGCACAGCACAGCCTTGGGCACGGTACATGAAGATCGATATTTTCAGCATTGTATTTTGGCACGTTCCTTGGCACGTTCCGTGGCGCGTCCCGTGGCGAGTCCCCCTGGCACGTCGCGCGGCGCGTCCCTTGGCACGTCCCGTGGCACGTCCATTGGCACGTTCCGTAGCGCGTCCCTTTGGCACGTCCCGCGGTGCGTCCCCATGGCACGTCCCCTGGCACGTCGCCTGGCGCGTCCCTTGGGACGTTCCGCGGCGCGTCCTCCTAATTAGCATGTCCCCCTGTCGATTAGCTCTGGGGCAGCTACTACGTGCTGAGGCAGCTCGAGCGTAAGATCCAGATCAGTTTGGTCAGGACTCGGATGCAAAGGAGGACTCGATCCACAGCGCTATAGAGCACAATCGCGGCATGGCGCACAACACAGCCCTCGGCACGGTACATCAAGATCGATACACTCAGCATTGCATTTGCCCGTCTCCCAATCAGGTGTCTTTGAAACGCCGCCATGCTTTGCATTTCTATATCCCTTTCCGGGTTCGTGGGTCGATCATGTTGGTGGGGGCAAGTCGGCGCATTCCCGGAAATCGGAAGAAGAGAGAGCGAGAGAGAGAGAGAGAGAGGAAGGGAGAGATTGGCATTGCAGGCTTTCCTCTCCCCCCGGGCAGGCTCTGCTCTCCCCCCCCCGAGCGGGCGCACCGCGCCTGGCGCCGCCCCGCGCGTGCGCGCACCTCCTCTCCGGTCTCTGTGACGCTGCCTGTCCCGGCGCCCGCTTTTTCCTCGGGCCGGCTGGAGGAGGTCGGGGGCGGCAAAGAGGGGGGTGATGACTAGGGGGGGGTGGATCTCATGGCGGGGGTCATGATATTTCCCCAGATTTCATGGCGCCTCTTCTTGTTTCATTACGTCCCTGGCCCCCCCGCTGGGCCGCGCACATGCAGCCGGTCATGATTTGCCCCCCCCCCCCCCCCCCCTCTTGGACACCCTCCTCTTGGCCGCTCCCGAGGAGGGGGGGCGGGCCCGGTCAGTGTTTGGGCCCCGAAGCCCTCGGGAGCCTTGAGACGGGGGTCAATGCAAACGGGGGTCAGCCAGGGCGCCAGATCCTGCAGGATCCTGCGAAGACCCCCTCTGGCCGACCCGGGTTGGCGAGCCGCTCGTGGCCGCGAGACGGCCGTGCATATTGGCTGACCCGGGTTTGCGAAAACTCGCGTTGCAGCTTTTTTTTCTTGCGTTGCAGTTTTTTGGATTCCTGCTGACCCGGGTCTGGATTGACCTGGGTCAGACGATCCCCGAGGGGCCGGTTAGTGATTTGGCCCCGACGCCCCAAATATGGCTTGGAATCACCATACCAGGTCTGTCGCAGTTGCTGTTTTTCGGGTGACGGCAGTTCCGGTAAGTGGAATAGAACGGGGAGGGGGGGGCGTCCCCGGTACAGATTTTCAAGCCAGGTCCGCCAAACCCAGTCTTGCCATCGCCCGAGGGGAGTGAGAGGAGGAGGGGTCTGGATACAGGCTCGTCGTCAGCCTGATAGAGCAGTAACAGGCAGCCAGACTCTACCACGAGGGTGAAGGCCTCGGCAGACGAAGTCTCGTGAGGGGCCCTGTCCAGCTCAACATAGAGAGAGAGAGCTGTTCCAGTGCTGAGTCCGACACGGAGGCCACATGCATAGGGAGCCTGCACATCACGCTCATCTATGCAACACTGAGGCTAGCAAACGCGAAGACGAGTGGAAGAGCTAACAACTCTGGCACAGTGAGCCCCGCAGGGCGCACAAGGGGGGCGGAATGGGGGTTTGCGTGGAGGGAGGAGAGAGGCGGCAGCGCGAAAGGGGGGGAGGGAGGGGGGGAATGGTGGGGGGGGCCGGAGGGAAGAAGGGATGGGGGATGGGGCAGGGTCTGGAGGGCGCCGCATCCCTGCGCGAGGGCGACGTGCTGGTGATCCGCTACGAGGGCCCGAAGGGCTCCCCGGGCATGCCAGAGATGCTCAGCCCGGGGGCCGCGCTGGTTGGAGCAGGCGACGCCGCCTCCGCCGGCGCGGTCTCAGAGGGGTCGTACGCCAGGGGGCCACAGGTCCCCTTGTGCAGTTCGTTGTGATGTGTGGGTGGTCAACCCAGACACGACAGGCTCGGGGGCGGCCAAGAGGGGGGTGATGAATAGGGGGGGATCTCATGGCAGGGGCCATGATAACTATCTCACCAGATTTCATGGCGCCTCTTCTTATGTATGAATCGCTTCGCTCATTCCGCCGGCCCTGCAGCCCTCTTTTGGGCCTCTTGGGGGCCTCTTGGGAGTCTCTTGGGGCTCCTTGGCGGCGTCTTGGGGGCCCCCCAGGGCTGCTTGGGGGGCTTTGGGGGGCCTCTTGGGGCGGGAGGGGGGGCAGTCGATTGCGGCGCCGCCCTCGGAGGCCACGATCCTCGTGAGGAATGCCGAGAAAAGGCCTTCCCCTGGAGTGCCCTGGGGGCTTCTCCAGGCTAGTTGCCGGGGTACTTTTCGTCTGGGGGCCCCCAGGGGCCGCTGCGCGCGCGCGAGCCAGAAGTACAAGTGGCACGCGTGCCCTGGCTCACAAAGGAGCTGCGAAGGACTGGGAAGCCTGGACGGAGGAAGGCTGGACGGAAGAAGGCTCCCAAGGGTGGGTGGCTCAGGGGAGCTGGGGCTCAGGCTCAGGGGGGGGGGCCGAGGGGGCCGAACCACCACGAGCCACGAACCACGACGAAAATAAAGGGTTCCGCGGCCCAGGGGGGCTGCCCTGGGAAGCATGGACGGAAGGAGGGTCCCAAGGGGGGGGTGGCCCAGGGGAGCTGGGGCTCAGGCTCAGGACGAACCACGACGAACCACGAACCACGTCGAAAATAAGGATGTCCACGGCCCAGGGGGGCTGTCATGGGAAGACTGGACGGAGCAAGCCTCCGAAGGGTGGGTGGCCCAGGGGAGCTGGGGCGCAGGCTCAGGGGAAGGGCCGAGCTGCCCTGGGAAGCCTGGGCGGACGGGGGGTCCCAAGGGGGGGTGGCCCTACGACGAAGATAAAGGGTTCTGCGGCCCAGGGGGGCTGTCCTGGGAAGCCTGGTCGGAGGGGGGGGCCCAAGGGGGGGTGGCCCAGGGGAGCTGGGGCTCAGGCTCAGGGGAGGGGCCGAGGGGGACGAACCACCACGAGCCACGAACCACGACGAAAGTGAGGATGTCCGCGGCCCAGGGGGGCTGCCCTGGGAAGCCTGGAAGGAGCGAGCCTCCGAAGGGTGGGTGGCCCAGGGGAGCTGGGGCTCAGGCTCAGGCTCAGGGGAGGGGCCGAGAGGGACGAACCACCACGAGCCACGAACCACGACGAAAATAAAGGGTTCCGCGGCCCAGGGGAGCCTGGACGGAGCAAGCAGCCGAAAGGTGGGTGGCCCAGGGGAGCTGGGGCTCAGGCTCAGGGGGGGGGCCGAGGGGGCCGAACCACCACGAGCCACGAACCACGACGAAAATAAATGGTTCCGCGGCCCAGGGGGGCTGCCCGGCTGCCCTGGGAAGCCTGGACGGAGAGGGGGTCCCAAGGGGGGGTGGCCCAGGGGAGCTGGGGCTCAGGCTCAGGGGAGGGGCCGAGGGGGACGAACCACGACGAGCCACGAACCACGACGAACATAAAAAGTTCCGCGGCCCAGGGGGGCTGCCCTGGGAAGCCTGGACGGAAGGGGGGTCCCAAGGGGCGGTGGCCCAGGGGAGCTGGGGCTCTGTCTCAGGGGGGACGAACCACGACGAACCACGAACCAAGACGAAAATAAGGATGTCCGCGGCCCAGGGGGGCTGTCCTGGGAAGCCTTGACGGAGCAAGCCCCCGAAGGGTGGGTGGCCAAGGGGAGCTGGGGCTCAGGCTCAGGGGAGGGGCCGAGGGGGACGAACCACCGCGAACCACGAACCACGACGAAAATAAAGATGTCCGAGCTCTATAGAGCACAGCTGTGCAAGAGAATAAAGAGTTCGAAGCGGGGGGGTCTGGGGCCAAGGCCAGGGGGGCCAGAGCCAAGGGGGGGGGCGAGGGGAAGCTGGCGCCAGGGCCAGAGGGGCCAGAGCTAAGGGGGGCGAGGGGAAGCCGGGGCCAGGGCCAGGGAGGCCAGAGCCAAGGGGTGGGTGGCGGGGACGACGACGAACCACGAACCACGAACCACGAAAATAAAGGGTCCGGAGCGAGGGGGGCTGGGGCCAGGGCCAGTGGGGCGGGAGCCAGGGGGGGGATGCCAGAGGCGGGCCAGAGCCAGGGGGGAGGGCGAGGACGACGACGAACCGCGAACCACGAAAATAAAGGGTCCGGAGCGAGGGGGGCTGGGGCCAGGGCCAGGGTGGCCGGAGCCAGGGGGGGACGAGGCGAGGGGGGCTGGGGCAAGGGCCAGCGGGGCCAGAGCCAAGGGTGGGGGGGGCGAGGGGAAGCTGAGGCCCAGGCCAGGGGGGCTGAGACCAGAGCCAGGGGGGGGGGGGCGAGGACGACGGCGAACCACGAACCACGAACCACGAAAATAAGAGGTCCGGGGCGAGGGGGGCTGAGGCCAGGGCCAAGCGGGCCAGAGCACGGGGCGAGGGGGGCTGAGGCCAGGGCCAGGGGGGCCAGAGCCAGAGGGGGGGGGCCAGAAGCTCGGGCCAGGGAGAGGGGGGCTGAGGCTAAGGCCAAGGAAGGGGGGGGCGAGGGGAAGCTGGGGCCAGGGCTGGGGGGACTGGAGCCAAGGGGGACGAGGGGAAGTTGGGGCCAGGTCCAGGGGGCCAGAGCCAAGGGGGGGAGGGCGAGGACGACGACGAACCACGAACCACGAACCACGAAAATAAAAGGTCCGGAGCGAGGGGGGCTGGGGCCAGGGCCAGGGTGGCCGGAGGCAGGGGGGCGAGGCGAGGGGGGGGCTGAGGCCACGGCCAAGGGGGCCAGAGCACGTGGCGAGGGAGCGGAGGCCAGGGCCAGGGGGGCCAGAGCCAGGGGGGGGGGCAAGGGGAAGCTGTGGCAGGCCACGGGGGCTGAGGCCAAGGCCAAGGAGGCCAGAGCCAAGGGGGGCGGAAGGGGGGCCAGAGCAAAGGGGAGGGCGAGGGGAAGCTGGGGCCAGAGCCAGGGGGACTGGAGCCAAGGGGTGCGAGGGGAAGCTGGGGCCAGGGTCAGGGGAGCCAGAGCCAATGGGGGGAGGGCGAGGACGACGACGAACCACGAACCACAAACCACGAAAAGAAACGGTCCGGAGAGAGGGGGGCTGGGGCCAGGGCCAGGGTGGCCGGAGGCAGGGGGGGGGCGAGGCGAGGGGGGCTGGGGCCAGGGCCAGGGAGGCCAGAGCCAAGGGAGGGGGGGGGGCGAGAGGAAGCTGGGGCCAAGGCCAGGGGGGCTCAGGCCAGAACCAGGGGGGGGGCGAGGACGACGACGAACCACGAACCACAAACCACGAAAACAAGTGGCACGCGTGCCCTGGCTCTTGCACAAAGGAGCTGCGAAGGACAGGAGGCGGCCCCCGCTTTCGTCTTTCAGGAGGAGTTTACGAGGAGCCAGAAAGAAAGTGGAGGAGGGGGAGGACGACGACGAGGACAACAACGACGAAGACGACGACGACGACAGTCGTCGGCGGCGCCCCGCCGCGCGGCTCGCCGCCCGCGGTCGCCGCCGCGGCGCCGCCGCGGGGGGGGGAGCAGTCCCGGGAGGCTCGGGGGAGGGGGGGCCGCGGCCCAGGGGAGCCAGAGGGGGCCCAGGTGGACGAACCACAACGACGAAAATAAAGGGGTTCGAGCTCTAGAACACAGCGTTGCAAGAGAAGAAACGGTTCCGTGACTCAGGGGGGCTGCCATAGGAAACCTGGACGGAGGAAGGCTCCCAAAGGCTCCCACGGGGGGGGGCCCAGAGGAGCTGGGTCTCAAGGGGAGGGGCCCAGGGGGACGAACGAACCACGACGAAAATAAAGATGTCCGAGCTCTAGAGCACAGCTGTGCAAGAGAATAAAGGCTTCGGCGGCCCAGGGGGGCTGCCCTGGGAGGCTCGGGGGGAGGCTCGGGGCAGGGGGATCCTGGGAGGCTCGGGGGAGGGGGGGGTCCAGGGACGACGAACCACGAACGAACCGCAAAAATAAAGGCTTCGGCGGCCCAGGGGGGCTGCCCTGGGAGGCTCGGGGGGAGGCTCGGGGCAGGGGGATCCTGGGAGGCTCGGACGAGGGGGGGGTCCAGGACGACGAACCACGAACGAACCACGAAAATACAGGCTTCGGCGGCCCAGGGGGGCTGCCCTGGGAGGCTCGGGGGAGGCTCGGGGCAGGGGGATCCTGGGAGCTCGGGGAGGGGGGGGTCCAGGGACGACGAACCACGAACGAACCGCAAAAATAAGGCTTCGGCGGCCCAGGGGGGCTGCCCTGGGAGGCTCGGGGGGAGGCTCGGGGCAGGGGGATCCTGGGAGGCTCGGGGGAGGGGGGGGTCCAGGGACGACGAACCACGAACGAACCACAAAAATAAAGGCTTCGGCGGCCCAGGGGGGCCTGGGAGGCTCGGGGGAGAGGGGGGGGGGTCCAGGGACGACGAACCACGAACGAACCACGAAACTAAAGAGGTCCGAGCTCTAGAGCACAGCTGTGCAAGAGAATAACATGTACATGGCGAGGGGGGCTGAGGCCAGGGCCAAGGGAGCCAGAGCACGGGGCGAGGGGGCTGAGGCCAGGGCCAGGGGGGGCGAGGGGGCTGAGGCCAGGGCCAAGGGGGCCAGAGCCAAGGGGGGGGGTGAGGGGGGGCGAGGGGAAGCTGGGGCCAGGGCCAGGGAACTGGAGCCGAGGGGGGCGAGGGCCAGAGCAAGGGGCGAGGCGAGGGGGGCTGGGGTGAAGGCCAGGGGGGCCAGAGCCAAGGGGGTAAGGGGGGGGGAGGCGAGGACGACGACGGGGCGAGGGGGGCTGAGGCCAGGGCCATGGGGGCGCGAGGGGGGGCAGAGCGAAGGGGGGGGGCGCTGAGGCCAGGGCCAGGGGGGCCAGAGCCAAGGGAGGGCGAGGGAAGCTGGGGCCAGGGCCAGGGGAAATCGAGGAAGACGACGAACCACGAACC